CATTGCCGAGTGCCGGACTGCCGATGGCGCAGTTTCGCGGATATGCGTGTGTTATCTATATTACGTGCGCGATTAGTGCATGTGTCCTTGAAGAGTATTAATTAAATGCGCGGACCAGGCTGGGGTCCGTGGCGAGAGAACAAAGATTGAGTTGGCATGGGAAAACCGGGACAGCGGCTTACAAATCACTGCACCATTCCCATCTTCGCACTCAACACGAAATCCAGATAAATATCGTCTCTCTGGTCTAGAGTGGCATACGTGTGTACATTCATGGAATGAATGAATAAAATTCATAGGCGATAGATCATTGTGCATATGCTTCAGCTGTGAGTCTCTGCACCCCGGATTACAGCTATGGCGGGGTTATTCCGGGATGGGGATGGGCCAGTGACATGCAGAAGGCCAAGAGTAGGTATATATTACTTCTATGGAAGTATTTATGTTTAAAGGTGTAAGTTCAGTTCTGAAGAAGTCTCAGTAATCATTTCTTGAGCGACTTAACTAGGTAACTAACTGTAGACATTAGTCCTTTGACCTCGTTATTTCCTCCATTCTGTGGCGAGCAGCTATGCTATGAGTTGCACAGAGAAGGGAGAAGAATCATCTCTGTTGTGCATTTCACCTCCTCCTCCGGAAAGTCTCCCCAAAACTTTCGTCGACGTCAGTATCACGTTGCTGAATAGCTGGATAGCTCTGTAATGTTCAACTTACCTGAGCAACATGCTGTCGGATTCGGTACATATTCTTGCCCGGCTGGATCTGGCCCACCACCCCTGGACGGTCCGATTCGGTCCTCTTGGGCACAATCATGGGTCGTCCGACGAAGCACTCATGCGTCAGTAGCGCAAAGCCGAGAGCTTCTTTTGCGCCGATAGGAATCCCAATCTCGGAGATGGGAACAATCCGTGTATTGGGCATGCGCTCCTTCAGGTAGTGGATGATGTTAGAGTTATACGACCCACCGCCACCCATGTAGATCTCGTCGACACCCCCCGGCGGACCCCAGCGTTCGTAGGCGTCGGCCAGCGACTGGGCCGTGATGCGAGTTATCGTGGCGACACAGTCCTCTGGCGTAGCGCCCCCTGCAATGCACCTTCTGTCAGCTGAAACAATATAAATATAGAGTATCCATTGGAGTGGTCGGACTTACGCGCCAGCATCTCATCGCAGATATCTTCCGCCATCCGATCCCCAAACGTCTCTCGGCCAGTAGTCTTGGGTATATCATGCACAAAGTACGGCCCCTGCAGCACTCGATCTACAACAGACTGGTCCACCTTGCCCTTCTGGCCCATGGCACCATCCTTGTCATATTCCTGTTGACCGTTGGTGAAGTACCGCACCGCAGCGTCGATAAACACGTTGCCAGGTCCCGTATCGAAGTCGTAACACTCTTCGACAGCGCCTCGGGGTAAGATGGAAAAGTTTGCGATGCCGCCAATGTTCTGCACAGCACGATTGAGCGTCGGGTGGCTCAGGAGGAGGGAGTCGAGCGCTGCAAATAGCGGGCAGCCTTGTCGGCCGAGTGCCATATCTGACACGCGAAAGTTCCCAAGCGAGGTGACACCCGTCCCCGCGGCGATGATGGCAATCTCACCCATGTCGAGATGCGCTCGGCTTTGATTGCCCTCAAAGAGCTCCGGTAGGGGTAGGTGCCAGATAGTTTGGCCCTGGCCACCAATCAGATCGACATCCGATGCCAGGCTGAAGTTATTCTTCTGCGCGAACCACTTGACGGCGTCGGTAATGACCTTCCCCAGCTGGATGTTGACGATGGCCATTTCCTCGGGCGTCGTCTTGTTCTCCTTGATGAGCTTCATGACTCTTGCCTTGAGTTTCTTAGGCATCGGGAATTCTCCATAGTGCAGGAGCTGCATCTTTAACGGCGTTCTCGGGCTGTCCTGGGTGAAGTGGACGTGGACGAGGTCGACCCCGTCCATGGATGTTCCTGCATTGTGCCCAATGACTTTCAGGGAACTGTTGGGAGTTGAGCCATATGTCAGCAATGTTAAGGACAAAACGTCGAGTGCATTTGACAGGTATGAACACTTACAGTGGGCTGCCGCCAGAGTAGTTCAAAGCGGAAGGCATCGTGCGGTGCAGCGTCAAGATATGTATAACTTAAGCCACAGATCATGGAGTGAAAGGACATAACGATGCTGCGCCTACTTTATATATCTTGCCGGGAGAGACCTCGATGTAATCAGGCCCCCACCTCTCACACCTCACCTTCAACAACGGGCACATCGGACTTGGTTCCCTTCCGGAGACAGCGTCGTTTCTCCTACTGCCATTCCCCACATCTAACCTTCTCGCCGTCGGTGCAGTCTTGCAGATGTCTAGGGGGTTTTCTGTTTGAGAGTGTCGAAACTTACAAAAGTCAGTATGGAGCTGTGGAGACAAATCGAGGTGGATCTACTCTCGGGGATGATTGCCTTCCGCGATATCCAACCTTCTCGGAGCTGCATGCCTTCCGGGGATTTTATAGTTTATACTCCCCGGACCTTGCTTGGCCTGGGGTTTGGCACTAAGGTCCATCATCAAACCCCAGATTCTGAAAATCTATAAATTCAGGTTGGTTGGAATCAAACAGGACGGGCAGTTGCTGCTCTGTGACATGTCCTGGGTCAAAATCCCGTCGTATCTATCGCAATCATGGCCATCTTCCCATTGACCAGATACACCACCCACATGGGCGCGTCGGGCCTGACGCTCAATTTTCTCGTTGCAGGCATTGCGACATGTGCATTTTGGCTTTTCGGCTACGACATGAGCGTAATGGTATGCTGCCTTTCCAATGTTGACACGCGCCCGGTCTAAGAATAAATAGGGCGGTCTCATTACCGAGGAGTCTTTCACATCTGTCTTTCCCGAGATGACCAACGCCAACATCCAGGGCATCGTGATCGCCTCTTTTGAACTTGGTGCGCTTGTCGGTGCTCTCACCTGTTTGGACCTTGGCGATCGCCTCGGTCGTCGTCTGACCGTTTGGTTCGGCATGTTCTTTATGTTGATCGGCGGCACGCTCCAGACCAGAGCCTGGGCTCTATCTCAGCTGACACTGGGTCGCGTCCTCAGCGGCATCGGGCTCGGTTTACAGGTAGCCACGGTGCCGTCATGGCAGTCGGAGTGTGCGAAAGCGCATAGTCGCGGGCGTTGGGTCATGATTGAGGGTGGTTTACAGACATTTGGCGTTGCTTGTGGCCAGCTCGTTGGTTATGGCTTCTTCTTTGTAAAGGGTCAAGCGCAATGGCGGGCACCAGTCGGCATCCAGCTCTTTCCGGCCTTGATCGTCTTCATATTCATCAATTTTCTTCCCGAATCCCCTCGCTGGTTAATCAAACACGGTCTAGTTGAAGAGGTGTGTATCTCGTTCTTTTGCTGACGGTGGTGAAGACCTCTCGCTGACCGTACAATGTTGCAGGGCACATACAACCTGTCAAAGCTTCGAAACCTGCCCGTCGACCACCCGGAGCTGGTCTTTGAACGCGATGCAATCATTGCCTCTTTTGAAGCCCAGAGCGAACTCGCTCCATTCTCCTACAGAGAAATGCTGGCCAATGGAAAGACCAAGATGTTTCATCGAGTTGCTATTGGATTCTTTATGCAATCTGCACAACAATTATCTGGGATCAACTTGGTCTCGACGTACGCCAACAAGATTCTGCAGGAGTCGTTCGGCCTCGCTGCCAGCACATCCCACCTCATCGCTGCCATGGGAGGGTTGGAGTATGCTGCATGCTCACTTCTGTCCGTTTTACTCATAGAAGGCCTTGGACGCCGTCGAGCCTTCCTGTGGACTACAGTCGGCATGTCCTGCTGCTTTGCCGTGATCGCTGGGCTTCAAAGCACGGACTCGCGCACCTGCCAACTGACCGCTGCTGGATTCCTCTTTCTCTTCAACACCTTTTTTGGCCTTGCCTGGGTGGGTGGACCATTTTTGTACAGTGCTGAGATTGCACCGCTGCGATGCCGCGCCCAGGCGAATGCCTTTGCCAGCGCTGGCAACTGGTTGTTTTGCTTTGTGGTGGTCATGATTATCCCGCCTGCTTTCCAGAACATCGGCTGGAAGACGGTAAGACCCCTACTGCTCCGTTAGCGACGGCCCTCTAACGTGCGTCTAGTATATCATTTTTGCCATTTTGAATGCCTGCTTCGTACCCATCATCTACTTTTTCCTAGTCGAAACAAGAAAGAGGAGTCTCGAGGAGCTTGTGAGTACCACGGCCTGCCATGAAGAATAAAGAAATAAACCCAGTAGGCTAATATTTTGTTTTCCAGGATGTCATCTTCGCTGCGGGTGGTGATCCAGTCAAAAAGGAGAAGACGATGCCGTACAATATACCTATTGAGGAGGCCCGGAGGATCCTTGGTCTTTCGGAGACTACTGGTATTGCTGAAGTATTATATCACGATGGGAAGCCATCAGTTTGAGAGATAACCCTCAAGTCTATTGAAGGCAATACAATGATCACTCCAATGGACCAGCTGCATTGCATGTACAGGCAGTAGTACAATACAGGAGGGATTGGAGGCGGATGAGATATTTATCACGGGTTGAGGGAGCGCTAGTGCCTAAGGCACTATGAGGTCTTCTGGGGCCTAAGGTGTCTGGACGCCCAAGCTTACTAAGCTCCTGTTCTATGCCTTAGGCACCAATAAATGAAGTCAGCCAAGCTGGATACCAGCTGTCACGTGACTTTGCTCTTCTTACAGGTACGTACTATTCTACTAGTACTAGAAGTACCAGCCTCTACTATTCTATGCCCTTACCCCTTAAAACCTAAATAGCCTGATGGAAGTCCATTTTGCGGGGGCAAAAATCAAGACCCTTGTGGCAATTGATTTCTCCCTAATCTACCACCCAACTCTAGACGACTAATTAATTTCACGAATCACGCAAGTTAATCCACACTCTATGTATTATTCATTATTTCCGGCAGCGACCTAAGCTACATTAATTCAGTCCAGCTCAATATCCAGTGACGACTCCAGTCATGCCTCCCGCTTTGGCTGTCCGCTTAACCTGCCAGGCCTGCACGCGCCGCAAAGTAAAATGCGACAAGAAGAGCCCCTGCACAAACTGTCTAAAGCATGGGATTTCATGTGTTGCTGTTGAGAGGCCGCGGTGGCCGCGCGGCCGGTCGGGAAAGCAGGCAATAAGCCGAGAGCAAGATCTGAGCAATCGTGTAGCGAAGCTAGAGCAGATGATACAGGAATTTACCCACTCCAAAAGAGAAATGGGAGATGTGTCCAGCAGCCGTGGAGATACTACCATAGCTAGGAGTGGACGATCGCCAAAATTGCAGTCGGAAACGGCCAGACGAGAACGACACACAGAGAATCACCCGGGGCTACCTTCGGAACCAGTGCGTCGGAGGATACTCGTCGACATCTTTCTTCGCCAGGTTGACCCCGTCTTGAAGATCTTGCACCGGCCATCTCTGTGCGCCTATCTCCTGGAGGGAAAGCCCTACTTGGACTATGCTCCGGGGCATCCGGTACCTGCGGCTCTGGCCTCTGCCGTGTTCTACATGGCCAGCTCGACCCTGGCCGAAGACCAATGTCTCGCTCTGCTGGCCGAGAGGAAAGAGACGGTACTGGCAAGGTACAGTGATGAAACCAAGGCAGCCCTCGCAAAGGTCGACTTCCTGGTTACAAACCATCTGGCAGTATTGCAGGCATTTGTCCTGTCATTGGTCAGTGCCTTGCCGTGGCGGGGAGACTGCGAGGTTCGCTAACTGTTGGTGCAGGTGGCTGCAAGAACACACGATACCAGCCGAAAGGTCTGGACGATGCTCAGCGTAGCCCTTCGCATAGCGCAAGCACTCTCGCTGCACATGACCGATCCCCCCTTTCCAGTAACGCCGTTTGAACGCGAGATGCGCCGCCGCCTGTGGCACTTGATCGGCTGGTTGGACCTTGAGGCATCGCTAAACCGCGGATCGGAAAGCATGATGCGGTCTGCGTGGATTCAGACACATTCCCTCACGAACATCAACGATGATGATTTTGGATTCGACTCGAAGGATCCCTTACCGGCTGCGCAAAGCGGGCCCACGGAGGCTACCCTTCTCATTATGTTTGCGCATGGCCAATGCGCTCTGCGTACCTTGGACTTATCCAACTTTGCCGAACCGGGAATCACCGACGTCCATATGCGACAGCAAACGGTGGACCACTTCCGTCGTACTACGAAGGAGCTGCTGGTCGGCTGTGACCCCGAAAATGTCTCGTTCCACTGGTTCATGAGCCAGATTCAGGAGCAGATATCTGCCGTTCTGCAACTTATCGCTCTCCGGCCCCTCCAGAGGAGTCCGACCTTTGTCCCTGCGGAGCTACCAGTGCCCCAAATGCTCGCCCTCGCAGCTGACATTTTAGAACGACGTCAGAGAATGTTCAGCGATCCTCGAGCACAGCCCTGGCGCTGGTTCGAGCTGCTATACTTTCCCTGGCATGCGCTGGTTGTCGCCATGACCGAGGTTTGCGTCTGTACTGACCGATGGGTGATAGACAGATACTGGCCTACGCTTGAGCGTAGCTATGACCTCTTTCAGCAGCCGGCTGTTGGTACACACTATGACTGGCTTTTGGCGCCAATGGAGAGATTGATGGACAACGCGCGAGCTGCGCGACAAAAGCTGGTCGACTCCGACACGACAGGGCTTCTAGCGCCCAATTCCCACATCTATATAGGCATGGCGTCTCCCGAGGGCCCAGTCCTGTCGGAGTCTCTACCTCCTGTACCTGAGGCGAGTTTGGCAGCGGAGGAGCTTACTCAACTACAAGACCAGGAGGCCAGCGCGTGGGCGCAGTATGGGGATTTTACCGACCGCTTTTATGAGCTGCAAGCGATCTTTGACTGTGGGCTAACCTAGCATAATATTTCACGACACTCAGCCGCTGAAATCAAGGGATCTAGCTCGGCCATGGAGTCTAGGATCTTGTACTACTTTAATTTTACTCATCCATACAGAGATGGTAACGTGAACAACATGCTCTTCGTAGCTATCTCTTCTATTCCAGTCGTCATCCAAGCAACCATCACTCGGGTCTATATCCATCTCGGCTCGGAATGAAACCCGCAACACCCTCGCCGTATCCCTCCCATCCATCAAATTCAGTCACATACTTGATGGCCGCCTTGAGGTAAAAGTCATCCTTACGACCAAACGTCTCCTGGAAGACCTTCGGAGCCCGCACCACTTTGAAGAAATGGGCATCCAGAGCCCACTTGTGCGCCAATGCGGTATCAATCACCCAATTCCAGTCCCGGCCGTCTAGCTCGACGGCCTCAATCCAGTCGAGGGAGAAGCGCGGCCGCAACTGGCAGATGTAGGTCATGATTCCGAAGAGCGCATACTGTTTCAAGATCGATGCGCGGAGGTCAGGGGGGAAGTAATGCCACAACACTCGCAACGCGTGGGCAACAGTCATGATGTGGACATTGAAAAAGTCAAACGAGTCCCGCGGGTTGCCATTGCTCAGGGCCACCAGGACGGCCAGGTCGCAGCATTCTTCGAACTGGGCTAGGAGGTCGGTGACTTCCCAGGCGTTCCAGTGTTCCAGCACGACAGCAATGTTTTGCTCCTGGTAAAGGACGTCGAGGTTGCCGATGCCAGGCTCGGAGAATACGCCGTCCAGTCGTGGATCCTGCCGCACTTTCTCAAAGACCTCGGCCAGGGAAGTCGTTTTATACTTCGATGTGTCAGGAGGCGCCTTGTCAAGGACGGTATGCATAGGATTGTACTCCGTGCACGCCTGACTGAGGGCTTGCGACGCTACCTCTTTGCTGCGGGACTCGTACGCATAGGCGAGATGGATAAATGGGTGGCCCACTATTTCGCTCCCCGGTCAGCCACACTTGTGGTCCCTGGTATCAGACGAGAGTGGATCACATACAGCCTCCGGTACAGCCGTTCACCAGTGGTTCCGTGCCGGAGTAGAGATACTCCTCAAGCACCTTTCCCCAGTCTCCCTGCTTTTCCTTTATTTCATTATCGAAGAAGTCCTGGTATGCCACAGTGTACCTAGCTGGATAGTGAGTAACTTGTTCCTCCCTGTAGGGACCAAGGCAACATACTCTTTACGAGTCCAAAAGTCCCTCCAGTTTTCCTTGGAAATGGCCTCGCCTCGTATGAACCCTCGGGCAATAGGGACCAACTCGGCGATTTCATGTTCATATGTCCTGGTCAATTGGTCGCTATTGGCACCCAGAGCATACGCAGAGCCAAGGAGCTGAGAACAGAGTCAACGGACGAAGTCTCATAACCATATGTCTAGGACAAAGAACATACATGCGGCAGGTGACTGTGCAGGATCAGTTCCGGGTCACGCAGCGGCGCAACCGTAACATGACCTTGTTCAAGGAGGCTTCGCAGCTTCTGGGTTCGCGGATCGGGGAACTTGGTCACGTCGTAAACAGGGACCGGCGGGAGGTCCCTTAAGCGGGACGCGGGAGGCAGTCGGATTGACTTTTCGCTAGTGCTGGGAGTCATTGCTTGAATCTGGACGCTTGGATACGCTTTGCGTATGGTAAATTGGACTGTTGAGTTTCTAAAGATATTGCTGAATATGTCTGTTTAAATAATACGGTCTTCTACCTGTTGATGTCAGCGTTTATATACCTCTCGTTCTCCCTGATCAAGTCTCCCCGTTGTTACCAACCCACCCACATGCTGCAGCGACAATCTCAAGCAAGCATTTGGTCTTGTGCAGCAGACTCTGACGATCATCCTCTGTTGGAGGTCCGTCGGATGTCCCTATCTCGGGCTTAGGAACTCTCAAAGTCCGAGCCGGTGAGGAAGCAAGAGATCTCATGATATTCGACTTGTTCCACAAACGTGACTCTCTGCTCCAATGGGAAAATATCTCTAGTGACCTGAAGACTCTTCAGAACGAATCATACGTGCTAGGCAAATGATGTTTCTGGCAAGTAATGACGTCTACTCTACAAACGGGAAAAGGAAAGGTACTATAAGTAACGAGATATTTGGCTTAAACACCATGGCAACAATGCATATACATCAGATGGACAGACAAATTTCCTCACACTTCTAGTCTAGTGTATTCTATTCTACGCTGATCTGCAGCCCTTAGGATCATTTCGTAACACCTCTACATGCCAGGATCCACCACTTCAGACGACACTACCACCATTGGCTCTCAGAACCTGGCCAGAGATCCAAGCGCTATCCTTCCCCCACAGCAAACTAACCGCTGCGGCAATTTCATCCGGCTCGGCAATTCGGTTGAACGGGTTATGACTCGCGATCATTTTCGCATGAGCTTCGTCCTGGGCCTTGTGGAAGGACACTGTGCTCGTCGCACCTGGGGAAACGGCGTTGACGCGGATTCCCGCGCCCGCCAGGTCCCGCGCCAGGACCTTGACCATCTGGTTCATCGCTCCCTTGGTCGATACGTAAAGAAGGAAATGTGTTGGCACGGAAGACGCATCTGTAAGGTCCGTCGAGATGAAAATGATCGTACTTCCCGGCTGCATGTGAGGCAAGGCTTTCTGCGGGGAGTGGTGTTAGCGTCCGTCCCTGAATCTAGGCATATACGGGTGCACCAACCTTCGTGAGGAAACAAGGCCCCTTGACGTTGACAGCAAAGGCGCGGTCAAAGTCCTCCTCAGTGACACTCCGCAAGTCGCTCTCAGGCACATAGGCCGCATTGGGGACCAAGACATCGATCCGGCCGAACCGAGCTACTGTGGCTTCGATAAGTTCGTCAATCTCCGCGGTCTTGGAGATGTCCGCCCGCACGGCAATGGCACGATCACTTCCAATCTGAGCAACCAGGGCGTTGGCCCCCTTGACATCGGACATGTAGTTGATGACCACGCTGGCTCCCTCGGCGGCGGCACGCAGGGCGATGGCTCTGCCGATGCCCTTGGATGCGCCGGCAACGACGACAACACGGCCGGATAAGGTCATGGTGAGAGTAGGATGTCGAAGACTTTGCACGTAGGAAGGTATGTCGACTCTGCAGGAATGAAAGATAATTCCCGTCTACCCAGCAGCAAGGCAAATATTTAGGTAGTTCGGCAACCTCGGACTCGGACATATTTCTCCTTGTTCGGGGGACTAATCACTGTGACACCGTGCCACCTCATCTGCATTGGATAGTGGATTCTGAGAGGAGCGTCCACGCCTGTCGTGCAGCACCTGCTTCTTCAGAACTACATGGTGGGGGTCTTTTGCCCCTATTTTTAATCCGAAAATAGGCGGCTACTGCACAACGCCTGTTTGAGTGTCCCTGGTAGTGCGGTAAAAAAGTCATACGAAACGTCAAGTGCACTGTCTACAGAGATGATTGGGATTTATACGGCAGTTCTCTGCTTCTTGCACCTTTTTTCCCTTGTCACCTGAGTGGTAGGTGACATCTATCTGCAGCATATCCCGGGCAGGAACCTATTTCTCCTGTCGAAGGATTTTTAAGACCGGACAGCGCAGTTTGAGAGTAGTGGTCCTTGTTTACTACGTTCCACTCTCGCTATCGGGCAATCGGGTTTTGCGGCTTTTGAGTTGGATGATGCTATCTCGCCAATCCCGAGACTAAGTGGCTAACAATTAGACTTAAACAGGCTTACAGCTATGCAAGGTGCTTACAGCTTGCCTATCATTGGTTCGGATGATCTCCATGCAATGTGCTTATATTTCAATCGTTATTGGCCGAACGATATTTGGTCTAGTTATTGTACATTGGATTTGTGTGGCTTCGCCCTCATGAGTGGCGATATCAAAGGACTGCGGGTCATTGCAACAAATCTCTTACTTTCAAATGAGACAATCATCAACGTCTTTTATTTATGGTGCATCTATCCATATAGCCGAGTTGGCCTTAGACTCCAGCAGCTCTAATCAAGGCTTTGCCGATCACAGTAGCACTGGGTGGGTTTTGACCAGTGACCAACTTCCCGTCCTTACCACTAGCAAGGACCTTTACGCCAAAGAGGTCGTCGGCCTTTTCGTAAAGTGCACCGTTCTTGCGTAAATCAGACTCCAACAGGAATGGCATATCCTTGGTGTATTGCATAGATTCCTCCTCAGCGTCGGAGAGCCCGGTGACCTTCTGACCAGCGACCAAGTAGCTACCATCAGACAGTTTTACGTTGACGAGAGCTGCCGGGCCATGGCAGACGGCAGAGACGACTTTTCCGTTCTCGTAAAACTCACGGATCAGGGCATGAGAAGTTGCATCATTGGCTAGATCGAACATTGCTAGGAGAGGTTGGCTAGTGAGCCGTTGCCTAGGCGCAGGAGTAGAGAATAGATGTCGACTTACGACCATGGCCACCCACGAAAAAGATCCCGGCAAACTCTGAGGTCTTGCCCAGAAGGGACTCAAGCTTCAGCGTATTCTTCCAAACATCCGATTTCTCCTTGAGAAAAGCCACGCACTCAGGATCCTCTTTGGTGGCTTCAATTGAGTAAGGATCGAGCGGCGCTTCACCACCGCAGGGAGATGCAACGACGATCTCAAACAGTGGAGCGAGCTTATTGTAGGGATGAACAAATTCTGGAAGGTACCATCCCGTCGGCGTGCCACGAGTGGGGAGAATGCTCTGAGAAGAGAGGACAAAGAGAAACTTTGGCTTAGCAGACATTGTTGAATCGATTGATGGTAGAGGCTGCCCAAGCTTCGCGTATGAAAAGACGCAGGAGTATCTATCGCAATCAAAATGTCGCAGGGAAGGTCGGTGACGAAATCTTATATCTACAGAACTTATCGGTTACATCATCATATGTATAGTTTGGTCCTCTCTTCCACGTTCTAAGGAGCTACGCCATCACGTAGATGGCTGAGCACGTTGTCCGCTCCGCCGCGAGAATTTGGCAAGCAATGATCACGCCTATCGATGTTTCTGCTGCTGACCGGAGTTAAAACACGGTAATAGTCAAGGTCCGCACCTATAGGACCAGCCAAGTACTGTAATATCTGTTTCCTGGTCCTTTCACAGTCAATGCATTCCACAGAGGATGTCTCCATGGCTCGGTAACCTTGTTTTGGATGGAAGATTGTGGCTTGCAGAACCAGCGGAAAGTCCCCGAATATGGGCTGACCATTGGGGCATGGACTTTGACGGCGATAGAATGTCTAAACACCAGGCCCCGGCCTGCGGGTAAATAAGATTCATACATAATTGTGGTTCCCCAGATCACCCAGTCGAGATTTTAAGTCTGTAAACACTGTTCAGTTACTCTCTCTTTAGCGTTCCTCATTCCTGCCTGTTCTCTACCTTTCAGCTCTCTGAACTGATATCCATCGAGTCTTTAACATGGCTTTCAGCATTACCGTCGTTTTCCCCAACGATGCCGACGCCGAGTACGACATCGACTACTACACAACGAATCACATGCCGCTCATTGAGAAGCACTGGTCCAAGTTTGGTCTCAAGGGTTGGTCCGTCACCCGGTTCGTTCCAGGCCTGGATGGTACCAAGCCCCTGTATGCCTTTGGCAGTGAAGTCTTCTGGGAAAGCGAGGAGGGCATAAAGAATGCATTTGCGAGCCCCGAGACTGTAGAAATCATGGGCGATGTTCCTCGCTTCAGCAACAAGTCACCTATTTTCCTGATTGGGGAGATCGTGAAGCCTGCCTTCAACTTCTGAGTATTGTGAGTTTAATCTTTCACCTTGCTCTAGTACAGAGTGTGACTTATTTGTGTGTAGAGGAACATATGGCCTAATGTCCCTGATGGATTATCTTATCTGTCCCTTGACCAATCGTCGCTATTATAGTGGTATGGATTCTCTTCAAGGTTATAGATCTCCAGTTTGAAGAGAAAACTATGGGGTTTGCAGGATGAAGTTCTCCGCTTCGCCTTTCCATTCCTTTTTTTATGTTCTTTAACTAGAGATCTATATCCTAAAACTACTGGCTTCGGGAGTACTGGTGCAGGTAGATAATTTGATCATTAAGATAGCAGCAGAGCACAGCGGAGTTAGCACAGTATCGGCTGGTAACGACCCAGGTCCTGTTACTGAAGGCCATGTCTCGAACCTCTTTGATTCGCCCCGAGCGACAGACTGGCGTGTACCTCCCTGATCTCTGCTAGCATAGTCGATCGTTGCGGTAGAAGGTATGTCTCTAGGCAGAGAGCTCAGCTGAGGATCACGGAGATGGTCCATTTGGGAAAGCCGACAATGTTGAATGGTGATACAAAAAAAATTCAGTAAGAGAAAGAAGACAGTGGGGAAGCGAACGTGTCGATACAGTGGAATCAAACGGGACTCAAATTATTGTAAGGGTCAACTTGAACGAGGGGACAGCGAGATCTTCTCCCAGGGTAGGGACCCTGCTGGACCCCTACCAGGTAGGCAGCAACATGGATTCTGACAGGCAGACAGCCCGATATGTGATTTCAGAGATCATACCACCCAACAAGTTGAGTTTCTCTGGATATATGAGGCATATATTTTCTCGAATAGCTTGGATGATCTTTCGACGGCGGTCCCAATGATGCCTGCACCGAATTTGAGGTGGTATTTGGCAAATAATATCGCAGGGAGTGTCTGGCATTGTCTATATAAGACATCTCTACGGCGCTCTAATTTGTAAAGAACAGAAGCGAAGCACTCTGACACCTTTAGTGATTTCGGTCTTAGTGGATTTTCAACTGCAGGATAACGAAGTCTTTTAAATAAAGCCTCTCTAGTGACTTCTCTCTAACCACTACTCCTGTTTCTCCTCTCCTCTAAGCATCAATCTAAAAAGAATGAATAATGTATTAGAGCATTATATAAAAGATATAAAAATAGTAACCTATAGTTTAGATCTGAAAACCAGTTAAGGTAAAAGTCTATAATGAATACAAGTTTAACTGGCACGTATTAGTATCAGAATCATGTCTTTCCTCAAGTGCTCTCCTGTTCATCTTTGCTGTCAGTACATATATCCCCTCAACAACATGTTTAAGACCATCATTCGGCCGTTCAGACGCTCAGCCCGAGAGCAGATTCCCACCAGTCTCTATCCTCCTCAGAATACTCTAACATTTCATCCAGACCCGACACGACAGCCTGTTTCTGCGAGTCATCAAGGGTAATGGTCCCCGGCGAAGACAGGATGTTGACTAGCTCTTGCGCGTCCTCTGCATCTTGCTTTTGCTTTTCAGGTGTGGGCCGCATGCCACAGCTGTTGATTTTGTAGACAAGGAGGTCCACCAGGGGAAGAAAAGGAAGATGATTCGGGTCCACCTCCTCCAGGGTTGCCGCTTGAGCCGGAAGGTATGGTGGCTAATAGTGTGTTGATCAGCCTTTGTTACATATAATGGGAGAGCAAAAATTGAGTGGAGTTTCAAGCAAGCTGACCAACTCCTGTGGGACGAAGTCCACCTTGATCGTGTCCGGGATATTGAGGCAGGAGGATACTGGCTCTGGTACGTCCTCGAACTCGTTCGGGAAGCGGGAGGCTAGTTTAGCCCGGACATCCAGAGTGCAGATCGGATGGTCCCGATTGAAAATTAGGATATCAACATCCTGGAGGGTGAGTTGTGAGCAGGTTTGGTGAATGAAACTAAGGATACCAACTTACCTTTGTTGGCCGGTAGCCTGGGGCGTGGTGTTGAAGTGCGAGACCCCCTATTATGGCAATGTTAGCTCGTTGTAACTCTGGAGCCTCTGGTAGAGCTTGTAGTGAGGTAATAACGGTGCGGGCTGCTTCTGAGAGGTGCTCCATGATGAATTTGACCTTTCGCAATTCAACGCTTGCTCGTGAATCCCATAAATCTAGACGATCCCAGCAGCTCTTTATTACAGGAGATCATGCCTTCTTGATGTGTCTCTTACCGCGTTGCTATTCATCCTATCTACAATGTGGTAGTATGAAGATGAGACGCCTGTACAATCAAGCTCATTGTGAATAGAAAACGAAACCAGTCTGACACGTCTGGTCTGAGTGGATTTTCAGCAGGAGGATAAAGAAGTGTTTCACTCAAACAAAGCCTCTCCAGCGTTTTCTCTTTATCCGCCACTCCTGTTTCGCTAAACATCAATCTGAATCGAATCAACAATGTATTGGAGCGCGATGTAACAGACATAAAAATAGTAACCTTTAGTTCAAAGCTGAGAATAAGTCAAGACAAAAGACTAAATGAATAAGAAAGTCTAACCAACATGCACCAGCATCAGAATCATGTCTTCCCACTGGCGCTCTCCTGTACTTCTCCTTCTTCCTCCTCCTGGGGGAAGAAATTCGCAGTCCTCAATTCCGCCGCCAGTGCGGTGCTATAACGAAACAGTGGGTGATAACCGTCGGGGTGGTACCGAAGCGCCCAGAAGCGTTGAATGCGAGGTTCAAGATCAGCCGGCTCCAGCTTGGAGTACAGACCAATGTAGGTCATCTCACGCAGAAAAAACCTTGCTCGACGGTTGCGCTGGTCACCCCCAGGACTCCGCTCGCGAAGATAGCCATAGGCTAACGACTCGGCGTAGCGCGGAAGCGTGGGCATTTTGACGGGGTAGTGAGTATGTGGCACTCGGCCTGTCCTTGATATTGGGTTATACTCGTCGAGCCGATCATCGGTGACCAGCATGTAGTTGGGATCATCCGGGGCTGGCGCGCCTAGTGGGATGTCCGGCAACGCCCACAGCAGTCGAGACTTTTTGTGCAGCTCCAGGCGAAACGGATGCCAAAACCCGGTTTTGCCGTTGTGGTCGTGGGGTTCTGGGCCCCTGGCGTCAAGGATGAAGTGCGCGTAGGAATGCGGGAGTCTGCAAATTGGCTGGACGAGGTGACAGTCGTCCCCTTCGGGGCAGGGAGGGAAGTTGGCTGCGAGGAGGATCTCGCGCGCTCTGTCGATGTGTGGGTCAGGGATAACAAAAGTAAGGTCCTGTAATGGATTCACGGGTTATTAGTGTCTCAGCCCCGGATATCTGGACTGTGCTGGGACAGAACTCACCTGGATCCAAAGATCCGCTCCATACCGTTCCAAAACGTAAGGGCCCCACATGACATTGGGAATTCCGTTGGCATCCAACAGTTTGGTGATGGATGCAATGAGATCCACGTCGATCTTGTGGCCGTTGAATTTGAAGTCGCTCATCTTGATTGGGTTCTGTCGGTTCGTCCAAGAGCCTCGGGGGGCGATTGTCTTCGGGGCTGGGTTGCCTGGTCATTTATATACCGTGTTGGCAGAATCACCGGATGAATGACAACAGGTAATCGATCCCTAGTTGAAAGGAGACGACATACAAGCTCCCTCAATTGAGCAGCCCTTGACCAGTGTCGTCCTCGAGAACAAAGGAAGTTTAACTCGAGTCTCCGTTGCCACGGAACTAGGAACCTACTATGATACCGGATCAGACAAAGAGACACTAGATTAGTCTTTCATTATCCAAAGACTCATACATGCCGTCCTCGTCGGTGAAAGAGAGACAAAGGAGGAGAACGGAATTTCTCTATGAAAGACTTGACCCGGCTTGTGGTCGTCAAGTGGTCCATGATATCACCTCAATCCCTAATGTTAAAGGATTCTCACAGGGAGAATTGGTGGTTGCCAAGATTAGTGAATAGTCGCTTTCTGCAACTTGACACCACATTGGAGACTATTTTTGGTCCGGAAATCAGGATTAAGCTCCAGGAATAAATTCCAGTTAAAAAGTATGCAGTCTTTGTTTCTTGCACAAAAAGACGATACCATGGCCTCACCGGCAGTCCCGGGATAGTTGCACGGGCTCGATACCTTCACTAGAGAGACATGGTTTATTCATGTAGAGTAGGCTGTTGCCTTGTCGATACGACTTCCAGTCCTGTACAATCTAGGCTTGAGCACAGAACTTGCAATCCAGCACCCTCCGCAGCATTCACCGTGGACATCAACATCCACGGTATTCTCAACACTATCATTAAAAGCATCGGCATCAGCGCGGACTGCCACCAAATCCTGCGACTTGCTCGGAGCCTATTGTTTTCGATACAGCTGATGCCCTCATTTGAAAACTCGGGCTCTAATCTCTCTGTGGTCGCCCTTAAATCTGCCTATTGTGGCAATGGTATTGTGTGGCTGGTGGTGGGCTATGCTCGTATTGATGTGGCTTGTCTGGTGACTTTGAGCTATATAAGGCCAGACCTAAAACTCTTACGATCTGCTCAGGGAAGTGAACGATGTTGCGCCCGGATACGAAGGGTCTCAAAGCACTTAAATCTACCAGATGTCTCGATGACTTCCCATCTGCACTCATCATCGCTGCGCCCCGGTTTGGATGATAGAACAAGACAACTTCATGGGACCAGCAATATGGGTGAAACGACATGAGGGAGGAAGCGATGGAAACGTCCACTACTCAACAAAAGACATCGTGGGACTGGTGCTTTTTGGAGTCGGATGTCTATGGTGCATTGCATTCGGAATTTTCTGGTACAGAAACAAGTCGCGCGAGTTCAAACATTTCAGCATATTCGGCTTTTCAAGGGCAGTGCCATTGTCACCACCGCTCCTGAGAATCATGATAGAATCATTACCACCGAATATACAGCGGCACGATTGTTCAACGCAAAACACTCAAAACGATGATGCCAGCATGCCAGCACCCCCAAATCCAGCATATCCACGACCTTCTCGTGTTCGACCGCGTGTGCAACGGCCGGATTCACCTCGGCCTTCAATGATTCTGATGAACAACGAGACCCAGAACGAGACCAGTCAGTTCCATCATCAAACCGTCGAAACACTCGAAAACGGACGATTACCGGATCAGGATGAGCCAGAGCAGCTTCCGCCGTACGAACCGGCTCCTCCCCCTTATTCTCCTCATCTGTAGCGAAGATGATGGAGAGCAACTGGCCCAACTTCTGTGACTTGACCTTTCCCATTTCTAATGTACCATAAAGGCGCAATCGGGCATAGTTCAAAGGCTTCATGTTAAGAGGGTAACGAAGGATTTCAATAAGCTTGTGATATCGGATCGTCTATGCGCCGTCAATGGAACTTGTTATATACATTAAGATGGCTCTCTAGTCATCCACTACCACTGACCTAAGATGAAATGGCGTTGTAGTATTCTCGTGGGGAAACCTTGGTTTAGCACGGCGGGAGATCCAACTGTTCGGGTCATTGATTGTGCAGCAGGCTAGGTAATATTATACTGGTAGGGTACGTTCTCATAACCTTATATCGGCGATCTTCTGCTTCTTGAAGCGTGTCTTCCTAAGCTAAGGTGGTTCCTGAGACCGCCCATAGACCCTGTTAATGGGTATTCCGTGCTTCCAGTCCTTAGACGATGACATCCATGAGAGTGCTCTAGATATCGTAGCATTCAAATGTCAAGTCCTCGTTCTATCCGCCATTGATTATATATTAGCATAGCTTCAAGCAATGTATGGAATGGAAAGGGGGATATGCTTACCAGCTGAACATCCGGCTGGCGTGGGTCACAGCACTGGAGTGTGTGGTCCACAGACTTACAGATATCAGCGTCGAACTGATCCTCGACCGCAGTGCCTACGAGTATCCATCATCAGTTAATGCTCAATTGCTCAATCTAGACGCGATTAAGTCGTAATTACCATTGCCACAGATATTGGCGTTAGGATTAGGGCGCACTCCATATTCGGCAAGAATGTCTTCCGGCAATGCCGAGTATGGCGTTACCTCCGCGCAGCATTTCACGTTGCCAGAGCATGAGTCAAGGTTTTGGGCCACGGCGAGCGTGATAATAGGGAGAAGGACAAGAATGGACTTCATTGTGGTAATTGGGGTAGATAAGTTGACTTTGTAGGACTCCGCTGGTACAGTAGTGTAAGAGTGCGCTATTAGCAAGGCATTCGTCGCATTTAAATGGTATTCCTGTCTTCCAGCCACAGGGGATCTACATATGGCTCATGTTTATCACATTGCTGCGTGGGCTAAAGGGAAGCAAGGGGATATACTACACGTTACACAGCAGAGGCGCTATTGCAGCCATCCCCTTCCCAGGGCAGAGCAAGCATTCAAGCTGCTCACGCTCTGCTGCATCAGTGGTCGATGTTAAATGGCAAACATTGATATCACTGGCTGATTAATCTTAGCTAAGACAATTCTAAGGCCCCCGTGCCAAATAGTCTGTGGGGCTGCATGACCTAACACCTACAAGCTGATTCCCAATCCTAGAGAAGTAAAGTAAGTCATACTCTAAACAAGACCACTGACCGCTGGCCTGCATGGAGAGCTGAATCTAAGGGATCACCAACAACTAATGAAACTTTTAATTATATAGTGTTATGTTTCTTGTTTACAGGAGCGCCCGTTCATGTCAGAATTCCAGAGTTAAGCATGGGGATGCGTCCCATAGCTTGTCCAGCTGGGTGAAGACATATAATGCGGAATAGAGGGAAGCCAGATACCCCTTCTGGTGGCATTGTTATATTCGTAGGGTTTTCTCGCATGAGAAAAGGGGGGAAGATGCACTCAGGCAGGGCCTCGAGTCCAGCATTATATTCGCCTTGCCATCCTTCGTTGATTGGCTAAATTCACGATGCTGGTGTTGAATCTCTGGTGTAAACTCTCCTTCCTAACACCGAAAATTGATTGCGACAGAAAGCTATCAAACAGTGGGGTTGCTGACACTTTTTAGGCTGTCTTTTCGCCGCCACCTTTTTTATCGATACTGAGTCATCGGCGTAGAGGACTCCATGGGACTTCGATAACTTTCTTAGCATCCACAGGCACTTTGCCTGTAACTAGGTCGGGGACGTTGAGCCAAAGGGCAATCAATGACAGGTCAACTTGTCTGGCTCATAGCCCTCTTACAATACCTGCAAGAAGCCGTAACAGCAATATTGACATACAAAAGCTAAACGACCATAAGTTTCGATATGAGCTTTGCTAAGTGCTTCCTCCTCGTTACCTCTGAGATGCGGACTCAGCAATGAGACTCGAAATGACACCGTAAAGCGAATGTGCTGAACAGATGCGGTACATCAAGCATCAGGCCTCGAGGAGTCAAGAGGTTACAGGCAGTTTGGGAGTCGCTTGCCTCCAGCCTAACAACCTCCGGATTCATTGCAACATATTCCTTTAGAAGCGCGTGGGCTCAGCGACCGTTCAAGTCTCTACGACTCTTCGTAGGGTCCTAGCATGAGCATATGGATATAGGCGATAACCTACAGCAAAGCGGCTGTTCGAGGTGCGCGGGTGCAACTGTCCCTGTCAGGACAAAGAGCGATTCTGGCTCAAATTGTTGCGAACTAATGTCTCCTTGCTGCCGGCGTTTCCATCAGCCCTGGTGGTCGATCATCTGATCTGACTCATCCCGTGATACCAGAAGGTGCTCTCTTGTCAGATCAACCACACCAATAAACCTTTCCAGGTTCACTTATGGAATAGTGGCTGATGTATATAAAGCTGACAAATGGAAGTATGCAGTCCGCCACCGAGATACGAATCTTGTCACCGAGAGAGTGCTGACTCACAGTCACATATCCCGAATACGACCATGCCACAACGATTAAACGCACTCCGCACATCGTGATTGACGGCGCAATTTAGTACATGCCCTCCAATGACGTCGATGAAACTATCGGCACTGTATATCCGGGGTATCGCCCCTAGCGACAAACAAGGGAAGCTAACTACGTCTATGAAGTGGCAAGAGGCCTAGAAGAAGAACTCGGTGTGCGGATATAATGATTTCGTTGGATATTAGTCAGATGAGAAACTTCCAGTGAATTAAATTATGGTCAATTTGTCCATTACAGCTCAATGATTGGTGAAACAGCATCGTTGGCAATGGCGATTTCATTCTATCCTGGATGTCGACTTTGCGGGCTCACCGAACTACCCTATTTGTTAGGAGCTGATGCTCTACAACGTTCTGTCACCTTTAGACCATATTCATAATAATAGTATGCATTGTAGAGTACGTCACCTGATAGCTGAACAATGATATAAAATGATCGCAGCTACACCACTATATGAAGCCCCAAAACTCAGCAAGGTTCATCACTCCTGTTCATTCAACAACTCAACTGAGGATGACTGTGAAAGTTGGCATTAACGGCTTCGGCCGGATCGGTCGCATTGTCTTTCGCAACTCTTTCTCCCATGACGATGTCGAGGTCGTTGCTGTCAACGACCCGTTTATCGATCCCAAGTATGCGGTATGTCGGATTCATCCTAACCAAGTCTCTACAGCGCGATCCATTAACAAGGGAATGTTCGACATAGCAATACATGCTCAAATATGATTCCACCCACGGCCGCTTCGAGCACGAGATCTCCCAAGACGAGGGCTCCCTCACCATCCAAGGGCGCAAGGTGAAGTTCTACGCTGAGAAAGATCCCGCCAGCATCCCCTGGCACGAAACCGGAGCCGAGTACATTATCGAGTCTACCGGCGTGTTCACGACAGTCGACAAAGCCAAAGCGCATCTTCGCGGCGGAGCCAAGAAAGTCATCATCTCCGCCCCGTCCGCTGATGCCCCGATGTACGTGATGGGGGTCAACGAGGAGAAATACGACGGCACGGCGGATGTGGTGTCTAACGCATCGTGCACCACGAACGCCATCGCCCCGTTGGTCAAGGTTTTCAATGAGAAGTTCGGGTTCGTGGAGGGCCTGATGACTGCTATCCATGCGTACACTGCGACGCAGAAGCTGGTTGATGGGCCTTCGTCCAAGGACTGGCGGGGTGGGCGTGCAGCCGCGGAGAATATCATCCCTAGCAGCACTGGTGCGGCGAAGGCGGTTGGTAAGGTGATCCCTGAGCTGCAGGGTAAGGTCACTGGCATGTCTTTGCGGGTGCCAACCTCGGATGTCTCGGTCATCGATTTGACGTGCCGGATTGAGAAGAGTGCGACTTATGAGGAGATTGTAGCTGCGATCAAGGAGGCCGCTCATGGGTCTCTTAAGGGTAGGACCCGTCTTCCATTCGTGCCCCCTGTTTCAAGCATATCTAACTGCTGTCCAGGTGTTCTGGCCTATACCGAGGATGATATCGTGTCCAAGGACATAATCGGAAACCCACACTCGTCCATCTTCGATATCAAGGCCGGTATTTCGCTAAATCCCAATTTCGTGAAGCTGGTGAGCTGGTATGACAATGAGTGGGGATACAGTCGTCGAGTGCTGGATCTGGTGGCCCATATCGCCAGTGTGAATGCTCGGAAGTGACCTCGACCTGGAGAGGAGTATTGGCAATCGGCTTGCTTCGTCTTTATTGATTGTTTTCTTGCGTTGGTGGTTTCAAAGTACAAATGAATGGCGATCAAGTGTAGCTCGCTTGTTTGATGTTCGCTCGTGCCTCTAGCTGAGTTGCGTTTATTTTATCCAAAGCATTCTGACACATGACCCTGATCTGCTCCCACCTCCTTCGAAGTGAGGCTACCTTGTTCTTGTGACCATCTTGCTCTTCGCTTTGGGCTCCTAGTGATTCAAGACCCTCTATTGTCGTATTGCTCTCTTGGAGGTAGATTTCAATCCACTCGCGGATAATATTCCAGGTTTTCCGCGTGTCGAATGCCTTAGTTGCTCGACCTTGTACGTAATTTTGAAAATCCTTGCACGGCATGTACTTAACACACGCCGCGTTAATCGTGCGAGGGCAAACGCCAGAAGGCGTGAGTTGGTAGTCTCTGCCGTTTTTGATCAGCAGGCTGGCGCAGATGATATGGCGACCACTTACTCTAGTCCTTGCTGGGAGGCAAGCTCTTCCCTTTCCGCTTCAGAAAGGTTACTCGAGATGATATCATCCAGGAATATAACGTCGGACTCGTTCTGATCGAGGAAAAATCCATCTTCTTCAGGTCAGCTTTGCGGGTCCCGTAGAGACAAGTGTACTTACACTCGACAAAAAGAAAGTCGTTGGAATGAGCTCCGTAACTCATGAAGATCTCCTCTCCTTTCTCTAATCTACCGGGTCAGATGTACACTTTGACGGTATCGGCATAGTCCTACCGTATCGACGAGAAGCTGTAAAGGTGTACTTGGCTCCATCAAAGACAACCTCGCAATCCTGCTCATGGCATTAGCTTCACCGGTTGCGACACCTTAGTGTAAGATGCACTGACAGCATCATCCGAATGATTGAAATAATCTGCAAATGGCACAAGGCCTATGGCGTCATTCCAGTCTTCAGGAGGCTCTTGCCCGGGCTTGACGTAGTAGAAGCTCCTTGTATTCAGAACTAACCAGTGGAAGGAGAATTTATCCCAATCCATGTTAGGGAACACGGTGAGTATGTTCCGCCATGCGTCCTGGAGTCTTTTCTCCTGCTGCGCGAGCAGGTTCTGGCTTTTGGACTCAAATTTTCTATCTTTCAGGTTGCTTTCAAATGAGTTCCAGATGCCAGAAGCTGAAGGAGGTAGCAGAAAGGGCCCCTCGCAGGGAATCTGCTGAAACTCGGAGTTCGACCTCCGTAAATTCTCCGGCCACAGGATGGGCATACTGTCTTCAAAGTCCTTGCGCGATGGCCAGACTTTGCGCCATAAATCCCATCTCTTCAGGAATCCATGATCTCCCTCTGTCAGAAATGCGGCAAGGATTCCATGAATCGACGCCCCAGTAGGAAACTGTTTGATGAAGGAGGCCGGGATGGAATCGATTGTGATCATCAGATCCAAAGGGACTGTGATCATGACCTCACCCTCCTGACGTATGGATTATGACGGTCAGCCATCAATGCTATAGGTTTAGTGCCGCGTCTCTACGCACCTCTATATTTCTCGTCGCGATCATCCCCGACCCCCGGCCGGGTATGTGCGCGGGCGTGACGCCATTGATCTTGACCCCTTGGGATTTGGCCCATCGCATGAAGTCAGTATGGTGTTTACCTAGCTTTGTGTGTGCCATTGTTTGAGTATTATGTCCTACGGGGTTGTTGTCCATATACTTGCTGCTTTGTTTGTGGCAGTTGCTTTCGACAGCAGAACATGTCGCGCGACGCGTCAAGTCACGTGATTTTTGCCTTACAATTACGGCGTGCATTAGTCTACTCCTGAACCCAATTTGTTGTCCATTGATATCAGCAAGGCTTCTAAGATTCGTTCCTCAGTCAAAATGGATCAATGAGTCTTAATAGCCTTAATTCGTAAGTAGTTTCCGGCGCCTTTCTCACACGATGCGAGCTTCCGCAGTTGGCCATGCGGAACGTGGATCATTCCGATTATGTGTGAGTGGATGGTACTCTGTATCACAATCATGACAGAAGATTGGTCTTTGAGTACCATCAACAATATGTTGATCAACCTCGTTAAAGATAGTCCGGGTATGGTAGGTGCCTACTGGCCGGATTGACCAGGAACAACCTCGGAAGTCGTACAACCCGGTCGTAGTCTCATTTCCACCGCATGCAAGACTGACCTGAGATTGAGTTCGAAGCGATCCTCCACCGGACGTCCCATGTTGCGAGCAAGTGGAAAGGGCAAGCTTTACCGGCAGCGTGATTGACGTTGAGATGATTTGACTGAAGAGCTCAGCTATTGGGTCGTAACGCGTAAGATCTGACCGGTAACAGCCTAAAGTTCTTCGGGAATCCAGTCTGAATCTCCGAGAGGAAGACGGTCATTCCAGCCTCCTTGAAGATCTTCTTGAACTTCTCATCGGTCCTGGTGACGCTGCTGTCCACCTCGTCGAACATATCCTCCCCGTTGATATCCGTAGATTGGTTCTCCTTGACCACCATAATGCCAGTCTCCGTCAAGGCGGCCCGGCACCGTTTGACATATTCAAGCAATTGCGCATCCGTTAGATGTCCCACGCACCACTGCGTCCAGATCAAATCGTATTTCTTCTCCGGATTCCAGTCCTCAAGCCCAACAGTGTAGATATCCCCGACGGTACCATCTTTCTTCAGAGAGCTGTTGCGCACGACCTCGGTGAATTTCGCGACCGGTTCCACCACATCCACAACCTCGCAGACCTGGCTGAGGAACCCTTCCGTTATCCGTCCCACTCCTGCACCACAGTCCACCCCAAGTTTGAGTTTGCCTTCTGTGCTGCAGGACGGTAGAAGCCGACGCACTTTGGCCAAGAAGGCCCGCGATCCTCGCAGGTCGATGCGGGAATACCACGGATAATCGCCGAGCATGGCCAGCATGCCGTTGGAGGTAGCAGGGACATCGTTCCAATACTTCAGTGACGCTGCGTGATCGATCTTGGAATCCGGAGTCGATTCGGGCTGTTCCTTCGAGCCTTCCGGCTTTGCTGCTGCCGTAGAGGACGACATGATTGGTCAATTGGTGAAGTTGTTCGAATGTCCTTTGGCCGTTCCCAAGAAGCAAAAATGGTGGTGGGGAGCTATCAATCACGTGACGATTGTCATCACTCCACGTACTTTTGGAGGGACAGCAACCAACCTGTGCGGTCGAACTCGGTGCTCGGTCGAAATACCTGTTGGCATTCTAGGTAGATACTTGCTTGTATGATTCTTGTCCGAGTTACGTGAGAGGTGTTCTCCCCGTGTCCTAACACTAATGTTATGTATGGGCCGAGTTGCGGACGATCTGCTACGATATATATTCCTCGGACTGCTTTGCAGATCACCGAATAGAACGCTTGTTTAAAGCATATGTGCTCTTACTTCACGTAAACTTCCGAAGCGACAGTGAGAATGCAGAGGATTGCCATTATAAAGAATCTGGCGGTATCGTATATCACTTCAAAAAATGCGATGGAGCCGTCTCAAAAACAGAAATGGCCTCCTCTAATCGCTTCTCATACGCCTTCAGCTCCTCACTATCCTGACCTTCCACATTCTGGGCCGATTCGTCGTGGGCCTTATCCTCCTTCAATTCCAATCCCACTTCGTCCGTTCCTGCACCTCTAATAGTGTTCACTGACAGGACATCACGATACAATCCCATTGAAAGTGGCAGCTTGACACCATCCACCCCATCTCTGCCCGCTTTGATGAAATGAGCATCTAGCAAGCGGTACTGAGCAGCCCAAACATGTTGCTCCGCTACCTCCATGGATACCTCCCATGACCTGCCTTTTCTGAGACTCAGAGAGCCACCAAGCGGTACGCTGGATAACGCACCTATAACGGACGATGAGACGCCAGTCGAAACTTCTGCGCTCTGGCCGCGGGATGTGATAGCGCGTGTGTCTTCCAACAGGTAGAGTCCCGTGAGAAGCTAAACTTTTGGGCGACGCGCAAACTTGGCTTTCATCACGTAATCGCTACGAGCTGCGGATAGCCAAAGCTTGAGCTTTTCTTGCGCCTTTGGGTTGCTGAGGACCGAGGTTATGAGAAATTCCTCAGGACTGGTCGATGCATCAGCCGTGTTTCGTCAAATAGTTGAGGAATAACGTACTCCTTCAGGACTGCTCGAGTACCCTTCTTAGTAATTACCATTCTTTCGATATCCCTGCTCCAGCCCAGACCAAGCTCAACAATGTCTACCGCACTGACGCCCACAGACGGCGCAAGGCGAGAAGTTCCATGAAGCTTCACATCCGTCAAGTTGCTTATATGAGCATGCTCTTGGAATGTTTTTGGACTATTGTACCGTAAGGAAGAGCCGGAAATGGGAATGCGTGGATCTACCTCAGCATAGGGTGAGTGTAATGTCGCGCAACCAACGGTTGCCAGTACCTTTCGAGTACCAAAGAACCTAGAGTAAGAGCTTCGGGCTTCTCCCCGACGCCATAAAGATAGAACGAAGTGTCGTCACTGTAGGCCATTATAGACTGCCTATACTTGCAAAATCCTGTCTGTCATACGGTGAACCAACAGAAGGGCTAGAGTCATTTATATCAGTTAAGAGCTCTGCTTTGAGGGAAGCAACCGTGCACGGTAATAGCTGGCTAGAATGCTGCAAGTCGATGCCTCTTATATCTTGTTTCCTTTGCGTAATCGGCAGTGAGGCTTCTATTTTGAGTGATCTCGGTAGCGCTGAGCAGGACAGGGATATGTGCATGTGAAGCGCTCACTATGATTTTGTTCCTTACCCATTATCATAATAGGAGCTCGCCCATTAACTCCATGACTGGCTATTTTTCTACACAGCCGTGGTACATATCCCGAGAAGGAAGCGCCGCAACTCGAAATGGGAATTACCCAGTATATTCGTTATGATCGGCGATTAACCAGCGTCTGTACTATAACTATATGATTTGGCTGCCTAAATCCTATAATTAGCGCCTGCTGTACCACTGCATTTTTGGTAGACAATTATATACATTCAATCACTCTATCGTCCATATATCGCGAGGATAATAGATATCGTACTACTTAGGGCTCCTTTCCTGGCGAATAGTTGATCCATCTCCACGGAAGGGTGTTCAAGGCAGGCACTTTGCGGCATATCATTGCACCCATTCCTTTCGTTACATAATTCCCATATTAGGGCTCCTTTTCACAACCACTCGAACAGGACAAGCTTGCTGAATCTGACGCCATATATACCCACATAGATAATCCCACAATGAAGCCGAGAAGCGTTTCTGGGAGTAAGTCACCTTCCCACTCTTGCCTAGGACACTTGACAAGAACAGTTATTAACACCCCCGCGAGATGTCCTTTACAGTGTCTGCACCGGTCTTTTGAAAACCAATCACCGCATCGAGAAGAGACTTGCATCATTCCATTAGCTTTATTCTTCCGACCATCGACCCTGGCGGGATCAACAAGGGCGGTGGTATATTTGGTTGCAATACCTTTGTCTCCTGCATTGTCGCCGCTTCCACTAGCGTGTTACTCATGTCTTGCATCATGTCCTCCATCTGAAGGAGCATTGCACGAAAATCCCGTTCTGGTACAATGTGCCGCACCGTGTCCTCCATGTCAAAGTGCATCGCTTGAGAATCCTCATCTGGCACCATGCCTTGCACCATGTCTTCCATCCCGAGGAGCAATGCTTCGGAATCCTGTTCTGGCACCATGCTATGCGCCACGTCCTCCATCTCAAGAAGTGTTGCTTTCGAATCATTTTCTGGAACTGGCGTCTCCGTCGCCGATGGGCTCAACGGCGTGACGATGGTGGTAGTCTCGGTGGACGACATTTGGAGAGAATATGTCGCCGTATACGGGTGAGTACATTTGAAGGTATGCTGCAAAGAATAGTGCGTCCTCAAATTCGAGCCCAACCGCTTGGAGGGAAATGTAAACCTGGAATATATGCCCAGGTGAGGGCATGCAGTTCAGCAAGCTCTCAGCTTTGCCCTGGATATTCTAAGACCTCGTTGAGCTTTTGTGAGACCACCTTGCTGAACTGAGACCTGGGATAGTTTCATTGGCTGAAGTAGAAAACATATCCAAATGAGGATGCAAGTAGCCGCGAGCGAAACAGCAGTTTCCAATAAGAATGTCTTATAACTTTATAAGGGCGAGATAGTAGTGGGATAAGGACGTGATGGTGTGGCCCCCAGCTCCCACTCCTACCTTCAGTTTATCCTTATCTACTCGAAACAGGATGGGCGAAGAATCAGAGCCATCCATGAATGAATGCCATTGTGTACCCTGCGTAACGGCGCCTATGATTTTTACCCCATTGGGCGGCGATGGTCAAGAATTGGCCGCCCATCAATGCGAACTTTGTGTATGGATCTATAATCCAGACAACAAGGGGAGAGGCAAGGAGGAGTTTTAGTGGATTTATTAATGGCTCCTGATTGCCGATGATATCAATGCCTGGCTTCTCTCCAATGGTTCGTCAAGTAAATGCGTTGATGAAACACTGAACATGTTTGGGCGGCTATTTCAATGCGTCAATTTGACAGCGCCACAAGACCATCAAGACAATGAAATCTGGAATGAAAGTAAGCAATACGTTTAGGACAGAAAGGGTCTCTATATAATATGTCAGCTGCTGAGATTATTCCTGTTTGACAATAGAAATGGAGCGATGAACTAGAAGAGCGATCCTGGAGCTTGTTGTTGCAATAATGTTATGCCAGGGGCAATTCCTCTATATTGGCATTTATCGCAATAGAAATGACCAATCCGACATGACCGGACATGCATCTATCGCTGCGCCTGTCAGCCTTGTATGCTGGGTGGTTGTGGCTATGTATAGGCGCATCCTTGTCACGGCGGCAAGGGCAACCTCCACAATGGAGATATAATTAGTGGAGTTGAGCGCCGAACAAAGATAGGGTAGGTGTGTGAAATTTGTCCAGAATGAAGAGTAGCATCGAGTTGTCGCCCGTTGACCAGTCCCTTGATGTTTGCTTCCTCAAATCGCCAGTTGCTTTCGAGCGCCAGGAGAAGATTGTCACTCGTCTTTGGGGAAGTGGTATACAGTACAAAGAACAGTACTTTCGGCTCTACTTCGACTACTATCTAGAGCAATGCAGAATTGCATTTCAGTCTTGTAGAGGCCGTCTGCCAATCAGAACGCATCAACATATTGTTGACATTGCCAACCGCATACAGTCCGGATGCACACGCTCCGCAGTTAAAGATTTTATTGAAGAAGGTCAATGGACCGGCGAGACAACATCGGAGGAGACCATCGATGCCTCCACAGAGCTGACAGCCCGCCTTCTTCGTATGGTCGATGTGGGCGAATTCCCGAATTCATATTCGGGTCGGAAGAAACTGCCGTGGGTGGAAGGATCGCTGCAGGAGTTTGTCAGGGAGACGCTCACGGAATCAATATCCCTGCATCATTATAGGATCAGATTTAGCAGAGCATCTGGACCGCATCCCTGGATTCAGAGTGGAGTTCACATGCAACTTATGTGATCATCTGCGGGTTAAGGATGTTGATAAATCGGTGTAGGTATTCCACCATGCGTCGTTTTCGATGGCACACAAACAGTATATCTATCCTTATCATACGTATATCTGCTAGCTACATACTAAAAGCATAAAACCATATTAGGACATCGATATTTCCAGCAGGCCTCGTGGACGAGACGCTGGCGACATTAGCCCTTCTTTTTCCCCATTCGCGACAGAGAAAGCGAAAGATGGTACAAAAAGCAAGACGAACCTCATGGATTGAACAGCAATATTGGACGGTGTGGGACAGCCGATAGACGAATTGGGGAATCCAGATATTGGCAGATCGGCTTGTTATACTCAAAACAGAGTTTGACCACTCCAAACCATCGACCATCACACAGTGGTGGAATGATAGAAGGGAGGTGACCAATGGTACGCCGTACGGTCTGGAATTATATTTACTGTTCTCTTTGGTCTGATGCAGAGCATTGAGGGTGCATTGCAAGTGTATAAGGCATATGACCTGCGATCTGACAGTTGCACATAGAAGGAATAACAGTTGCGGTGATTGTAGCAGTCCAGATGAGAGAAATTCTATTGGCAATTGCACAAGACAAATAACATGGAACCTTGACCTCGCAAACCTATATCAATGATCAAGCCACTGCCTGTGCCTTGGCCCGCTCAGCAACCGAATAGATGCCCACACGCCCATACACATCCATGTACTTCTGTCGCACGTAATCGTCCACCGAGATAGGCGCATACTTTTCATCCTCCGGCATTGCACGGCACGACTCGATGCACCGGATCACGAAGTCCGGATTCCCATTGTAGTTGAACGGGATTGAGTACCGGTCTACATCCGACCGGTTGATCACCCAGTGCACGTTGGACAGGTACTCATCATTCGTCCCCTGCTGGAACAGATTCCCCAGGTTCACCACATACGCTCCCTCGATCGGCGGCGCAGGGTAATACGACTGCGTCTCCTCATGCCACACCTCCAGCCCGGGGACATCTCCCTGTAGGAGCAGCGTGATGACGCCAAAGTCGCGGTGGGCGCCGATACCGCGCTGCAGCGGGTCGGTGTCGGGCGGCTGGGGCGGGTAATGCAGCAGCTTGTAGAAGGCCATGGGCTCCGTGCAGAACTCGTCAAAGTAGGACTCGTCGTAACCCAGGGACACCCCGATGGCTTGCAGGACTTTCTCGGTGAGGGCGGTTACTTGGTTGAGGTAGTCCATGCAAGTGTCGCGGAAGAGCGGGCCCAGCGACTCGGGCCGGAGGCTCGGTCCGTGGGCGAATTTCTTGGAGAGGACTTGCGGGTGGTCCGGGGGCAGGTCCTGGGCGACGTAGTAGCCTTCTTTCAGGTCGGGCTTGGTGTCCTTTTCGATCATCTGGCCGTACATGACTTCGTAGCCGCGGTTGTGCTCGTTTTGGGCTGCGGATAGCAGGTAGGTTTATACGTTTGAGGGGAAGGAGAGGGGATACATTTGTCTAGTTTCATCTTTTCATCCAGGGGAAGGGCGAAGAACTCCTTGGACAGTCTGAACATTTCCTTCTGCAGGCTCGGTGGGATCGGATGGTTGATGATCTGAAAGAATCCCAGGGTGCGGCAGGCATGTCCAATGGCCTCGGTGCACTTCTTCTTGCGCTCGGGGTCCCCAGAGAGGAAATCACTGTCGACGATTGGAGGAGAGGGCATGACGTCGGGTAAAACTACTGATCTTTTGAATCTATGCATCGACGGATTGATTTGAGTGATTGAGAACGTCGCGCAGCTTATATAGCTATCTACTCATCATACTCCCTCGTCTTCAGATGATACTTGCTCCGCGAGCGGATTCGCGGCCCGAATCGATAAAACACCCACGGTAATGGCGCCATCGCCAGAGCCACGAATCCCAATAGACTCGTTGCCCACGATGTCCCTAGGGAATGATACAAAGACGTCGAGAAGAGGGGAAACACGGCCCCAAACAGGGAACGCAGCACCGCATTTGCTGCCAGAGCACTCGCCCCAAACGAGCCGTAGCAGTCTGTCAGATATGACGTGATCCCTAGGAAGAGCAGGATGAGGCCAAAACCAAAGGGAACACCGGCGACGATACCTGAGATCCAATGGGTCGGCGGTGATGCCGTCCAGGCAAACCAGAACAAGCTGACGGGGATTAGCCAGGAGATGACGATCAAATGGGGGAGGCGAGCCTCCGGCTGGGGTCCGCCCAGGCGTCGCACGTAGATGCCATGGATTTGATTGACATATGGCGAGATCAGGGTGGCGATGGCCATGCCGACACAGATACCCAAAAAGGAAAGTCCTGCAATGCTCGCGGACCAGGCTCGTGTTTCGCGGTAGACGACAGGATAGGCCGTGAAATCCAGGTAGAGGATACCGTAGACAAGAGCCATATACAGGGACAGCAAAAACAGGATTGGCTCCGTGAAGAGCATCAGCCAGGGCCGCGTGAGTGTCGTGTACAGCATCTCCTTGACGGGGGGTTGATTGGCTGGGGAATAGCCCGGCATGGATCGTCGTTTGTCCATCAGCAGCTTGGGGGGATATGTCTCGGGAAGAAACACCGTCATGGCAACGTAGCAGACACCACTGAGGATCAGCACCACCCAGAAATTCCACCTCCACGACGTGTACTGACAGATGAAACCGCCCACTGTGGGTGCAATGACGGGGCCCAGGAAGCTGGCCGCGGAGAAGAGGGCCAGCGGCACAGACCGATTATCCTGGGGCCAAATATCCGTGATGGACCCGCCAGAGTTAGTGACAGTGGGAGATCCAAAAAAGCCCGAAAAGAAACGAAAAACGATCATCGACGCCACGTTGGGAGCTAGAGCACATCCAATCTGGAACAGGACGAACAGCCCCAGAACGAGCCGGAAGATTGTATTGCGACCCCTGACCGGTGGCGTCAGTGGATTCCCCTTGTAGTAAATGAAGGAATGCCATGCCTGTACGTACCAGACCTCAGACAGCGGTGCAAATAGCAGGGGTCCGGACGCGAAACCCAATAGGAACGTGGTAATGCCCAGCGTTGCGACCGTTGACGAGCAGCCGTACGCATGTGAAATGGATGGAATGGCGGCTGTGTAGATGCTAGAGCAGAAGGCGATCGTCGCAGTCATCAACACCAGAATCCCAGTACAAATCCCTGTCTCGGCGTCAGTATAGGTCCAGAAAGACGTTAAATTCTTACTTGCATTTCTTCCCCGCAGACCAGCATCTAGGGTTTTCTTGTTCCTCGAGCAGGACCGGTTCGTCCGTGGGAATGGGGACTTTTGCTTCGATGTCCGCTTGTGGTGGGAGATAACTTGCCGTGTTCATGGCTGCATGAATGAACGAGCAAACTGCTGGTCAAGAACTGCGGGTTGAGACGTGTTTAATGTCTGTTCTGCTGATACTGACGCAGGGATTAATGACGCGATCTGCCCTCCGCCGGGGGGTCCATGAGATCCGTTCCCTGGAAGTGGATATAGCGGCCTTGATTAATTAAACTATGGATCAGGGACGGTGATGCTTCAGTGGTACGACTTCACCATCACTTGGCCTGTGTGAGGCAGGGATTTGTGTGTTTCCCTTTCCAAGTAATTAATACATGCCCTGCACAAGGCCAAGGCGGCTATATAAGACATGGAGCAATTCTTGGTCTTCAAAAGCTTACCCATTATATGATTATTAATGGTGCTACTTCACCGTAGATTCACGCCACCCGTAACCATGTTTGGATAGCCTTAGAGAATCCCTGTCATGAGCAAATAATAGTACCCTATGGATCTACATGCGGTGAACCTAGATTGGCTAGGTTTCTTTCATGGTCAAGAGGAAAACGCAAGCTTTCGGCTGAGTCTTGAATGAGTTTCTGTACTTTTGATAAACCATAATAACCAAACTAATGCATATCTACGCCATTCATATTAAAGGACAGACTTTCGACTCTTACCCGTGGAGCACTTCACGGAGTGGCCGAGCGATATCCAGAACAAGTAATAGCCATACTGGATCAGGGAGTATCTGCTTACAATGGAAGTGAAGTGACTGGTGCTACACCTCAAGGGCATCAATGTGATCTCTCTCCTCCATCTTCCGATAATCCCCCTCATCGTCTCTAGAATGGAAATAGGTATCGTCGGCGCCGGTGTAAGCGGTCTATATACTGCACTTCTTCTCCAACGAGAAGGCCACCGAGTCACTCTCTATGAAGCCGGTTCCCACATTGGCGGACGCATCTACACTCATCGCTTCCAACCCCTCAACTCCAATGAAGATATCTACTTTGAAGCTGGGGCGATGCGTATGCCCCGTTCGAGTCTGCATTCGCGTGTGTACCAGTTCATCCGCTACCTCAACACCCACGGGCGCCACGAAGACAAGATCGAACTCATCCCGTACGTCCTTGAACAGCGCAACAACATCGCCTTCATCCGCAACCGCAAGGTGAATGTCGATGATCCCACCCTCGCGGTCGAGTGTGGCCTGCCGGCGGAGTATCAGGGGAAATCCGCACGACAACTGCTGGGCGAGGCCGTCACCCCGTGGCTGAGCCTGCTTCACAAGGACTTCCAGACTGGGTTTGGACAGCTAATGAAGCTCGACGAGATGTCATTCCGGACGTACCTGCGCTTCGTAGTTGGGTGGCCGCACTAGGTGATCGACTTCGTCGAACTTATAAACAGTCAGACAAATCAGTACGATTTGAGCTGCACAGAGATCATGATGCAGAATCTTGACTTCCATATCCGAGACTGGAGCACGGTCCGCGGGGGTATGTCGCGGCTCACCGAGAGCGCAGCAAACCTCATCGGCCGGGAGCACATCCACCTCAACGCGCGGGTCGACTCGATCAAGGAAAACCTAGTCGGAACAATCACGCTGTCTACTAGTGCACACTCTGCCACCTTTGACAAGGTCGTTCTGGCAATCCCACCTGCAGCGCTGCATAGCATCATCGAACGCCCCACCTGGTCCTTCATAAAAGAGCAGGCGCTGCGCGCGACGCACCCCTCTATAAGATCGGCCTACACTTCCGTACCCGCTTCTGGGAGAAGCTTCCCACTCCTTGTCTCGGCGGACAGAGCGTGACGGACCTCCGCTTCCGCTGGATCGTGTATCCGTCCAATGATATTGGAAGCTCGCGGTCCGGGGTGCTGCTGCTGTACTGTTGGATGAACGATGCGTACCGGATGGCCTCGCTCCCTCGGGACCAGCGCGTGTCTCTAGTGTTACACGATCTGCAGAGGTTCTACGCGGACACCGGCGTCAGCATCTCCGACGAATTCATGGATGCCTTTGACGTCTGATGGAGCCAAGAGTCTGCCACGGGGGATGCAATGTTTCTCCCGGGGCAATTCAGCCGGTTTTATGAATCTTCCCGCCGCGCAGAGGGCAGTGTCTACTTTGTCGGGGAGCATTTGAGTCGACATCATACCTGGATCGCGGGGGCGGTGGACTCGGCGATCCAGACGGTGGGGGGAATGTTGGGGGTTAGCGAGATCAGGTCGTTGGACGAGGAGTACTCCCGGGTGAAGAAAGGGGGCGGCAATGTGCAACGGCCCAGTGGGCAGAAAAGGTGCAGTTATTCGATTCCACTACATAATAATGTGCAGTACGTGGAGGATTTGGAGAGTGCATGGATGGCCAAGAGTGGAAGAGCGACGGCAATTTGTTCGAGGACATAGATTGATCTAACAATGACAAGTAGAAACAGCATGTTTAATCAAGAACATGATATATAATTGCTCATAGTTGGTCAGCTAAATATCTTTTGCCTTAGATGCACTAAGTGTGCTTGATTAAGTTGTCTTCGATTACTACCTTCATTGACTCAATACTTTTATAGACGTCGTCAATACTATACAGTAAAAATATTAATAATAACCTCCTTTTGCATCCAGGCAATAGACATCCACTACTATAAGAAAGGAAAGGAAAATGTGAAAACGAAAGTGGTAAAGGAAAACAGCAGGCGTCATGCCACAGTGCCAGAGACCAGGCTCAAAATAAATGAAATAAGCAGAATAAGCAGGACATGCATACCCCAATCAAATATCTCAATGGTTAAGGATACCCCATTTGCACCGTAGTCTGATACCCAGTGAGCTCAGGTCTCGTCCGCAACTCCATCTCCTTCTCCTCCTGGATCAATGCACAGCATCCACACCAGAAGGTGACACAGCAGTCTCCAGGACAGGATCCCGCAATGCCATGCTTCTGGCGCATTTCACTCCGCCGAATCGTTTGAATGATCCATTGGCAGTATCCGAGGGCGAGAACAGTGAAAATAGCGCACTGCAGGCGAGGGTTGGATTGGTACACCATCGATATGAGCTAGGGGTACCTACCTCCGAGTTAATACTACTATAGTTTTGTAAAGTTGGATTCTGGACCCTGGCCTGGGTTTTGCCAAAGGTAAGGCATGGAAGACACCAGCTTGTGAAGCCTGATTGATATCAAGTCAGCTTGAGGCGGGGGAAGAGGATGTGGAATACGCACAGAGCGAGCCTGGTGAGAAGCAATCAAAAAGTGAATAATGCCATTCTGGGTTGCGGGTGATAGCTCTGGCCGCATCTGATTTGAAAGGGTCATCCGTCGGCCCTTTTGGCACTGAGCGGTAAGTCTTGTCAATTGATGCCATCTTGAAATTTGAGGGAATGTAAAATATGAGATTTGGTCGTAGTGTCTGGTGTGCACTCAGTGAGCAGGAGGAAGGATGGGAGGTACATCTAGCCGATCCCTGCAAGCGGTAGCTTATATACCCCTGGTGATCCAATTATCCTGACATGAATGTTATAGAATTTATCCCCTATATCCCAGGTTGGAAATTCGCATTCGTTATATCGAGTTTCCCAATATGGAATAGGACTATGGGGATTGGTGGATCCTGGCCAAGTGGAGTTTCTAAAATTCCTGAGTTGTTGATTAACCAAGTGAAGTCCTCACTGCCAGTAGCATAGCTAAACTTACTATTCGCGACCCACCTTTGGGAAAGAGTTTCGTGAAGAACATGAATATGACTTTCTTGTCCCGCGTGGAGGCTTCGTCTCAGCCACAGGGTCTTGTTCGAAAACGAGTCTCCCTTCTGGTCAGAGACCCACTCTGACATTTAGGTAGGGTTGGGCATCCCAATCCAAAGGATGATCCAAGACATAAGGCGTAGTGTAGTTTTAGGTGCAACATTCCGGATGTCTTACCAGCGTTGACTCTACCAGGCAGCTCGCATTCGTATGTGTGCCAGTGCAGATACTCGCTCAATATCAAACTGCCTGGGTTAATATTGTGGCAGTTATCCAGGAGTATAAGTACCAGGATATGGCCTCTGCAGGATTAGACATCATTGCAATACAAAATCAGAACTTTCAACAACTCATCTCTCCTCCGTTGCTATATCGAAACCATGAACCATATCGGCCCGGCCATAGAGTGCTCCCCATCCGCGATTGCCACACCAGCAGTATACGGTGCCCAAGTCCTTTCCCTCGAGGCGTCATGGGTCAACAACTTCACCCTCGATGTGCCTGTTGATTTCAACTACAACCATGGTGCTCAGTCGGTGCAAAATGTGGACTTCTGCAACGTGACAGTGACCTACACTCACCCAGGATATGACGACCGTATTACCGTCGAGACTTGGCTGCCACGCAACTGGAACCAACGCCTGCAAGCCACCGGAGGAGGTGGCTGGCGTGCAGGCCGGTTCGTCCTCTCCCAGTTCTTTATGGGCGGCGCCATCGGAGAGGGCTATGCGACCACAACCACAGACGCAGGTCTCGGGGATACCATGCCAGACACATGGGCTCTGAAGAGCCTCGGGAATGTCAACCTGGAATACCTCCATAATCTAGGCTACAGATCCCTCAACGACGAGGCCATTATTGCCAAAGACTTGATCCGCAGCTTCTACGGCGTCCCTCCGGCGTACTCCTACTGGAGTGGCTGCTCGCACGGCGGACGCCAAGGTCTCATGCTTGCGCAGCGATATCCGCAGGCCTATGATGGAATTGCGGCCTCTGCACCGGCGCAGTCGTGGCCCGAGTTTGTGACTGCGGTTTACTACCCGCTCCTTGCTCCGCTCTGGGCCGGGGAGCAGTCTCCCATGGGCTGTGAATTGGAGTTCCTGACTGAGGAGGCCGTCAAACTCTGCGATCCCAAAGACGGGATTGTGGATGGTATCATCTCGGACCCGGACAACTGTGACTTTGACCCATTCAGCGCGGTGAATAAGACTTTCTCCTGCAGTGCTACTGGAAAAGCCATGCAGCTTAGCAGAGCAGCAGCTGTCACCGCAAAAGCGGCTTGGTCAGGGCCTAGAACTGTCGCCGGGGATTTCCTGTGGTATGGCGTGAACCCAGGTTCGGACATCTCTAGTTTGGGAGTTGCGCCAGGCCAAAATATCACAGCTACCCCGGACGAGTGGCTCAGCTTGTTTGTGCTCAAGAACCAGAGCTTCGACGTCACCCGGTTGAGTCATGAGGAATATGACAGGCTTTTCCGTCTCGCTGTCAAGGAATACACTGATGTTATGGCTGCTAATGACCCGGATCTTAACGCGTTCAAGAAAGCCGGAGGAAAGCTCCTCACATACCATGGCATGGTAAGTCATTGAACACCATTTCAGCAGGTTCCTAGCTAACTGAGCAAGGCCGATCAAAGCATTCCAACAAAGGGCACAGAGCATTATTATCGCGCAGTTAGCCGGTTGATCCCTGACGTACAAGACTTCTACCGGTACTTTGAGTCTCCGGGTCTGGCCCATTGTGCTGGTGGCAGGGGCGGGCAGCCAACGACTGCGTTTGACGCCTTGAGGAAATGGGTGGAAAATGGCACTGCCCCCGAGTTTCTCCCAGTGCGCGTCAATGGGACGAATGGAGCGCACGACCGGATTCTGTGCCCTTATCCAGCCAAAGAGATCCAGCAAGGTGGAAATGCCTCCGACGTTGGAAGTTTCCGTTGTGTCCATTGATCTAGCGTCTGCAAATGTGTGCACAAAACCTGTACCCATTTTCACTCCTGACCTGTCCTTTTCTTGATCGAACACTTGTAATCCTATTAACTTAGTCTCTCAATTCACGTATGTGTACTCCACGCGGCAGAGTGGGATAGAATAGCGAAAGAATACAAATCCATCGATATTATTGAATGACGAATCCATCAAGGAACATCTATCCTTGACAAATGTAAACCGTTGGACAGTCGCTTTATTCGCTGCATGGGCCACTGGGCATATCCCTGATGAGACTCATCAAGGTTGCTAAAAATGCTAGTCATGATATGTTCAGGCCAGTCGCGGATAAACCACGCCGCGTCGAGTCGCTTCAGCAAGACCGCAAAAGAGGCAAACACCACCAAGGCAGCTGGCCTGCGCTGTTGTGCGTCTGCTAGAAAAAGATCCGGCAGTGTATATAACCAACTAAAGATCTGGGGCCAGAGTTGAGCCTCTGGCAGCTGGGAATAGCCACCGAATACGACATCGTAGCAGTGACAAAGTCGGTCCAGCACCTGGGAGTAGTCTGTATACCCGGGACCGCTGACTGGGAAAGTTGCCGATATCAGATGCCGTAATTGGGCCAGGTGGTCACTATATACCTGCGAGACCTGTTCTTCACTGTGGAAAGGGGGTTCCTCGGCCTGGGAAGTCTTGTCTTCTGGATCCTCAGTATGGATGGATGAAAAGTCGACCGAGAGAGTTGCGCTACAAATCTCCATAATTGACCGCAGACCCATGAATAAGGACAAGCACCCTGGATTACCGTCGTCGCGGTAAGCTAGATACTCCCCAGGCTGGGGTCCTTTTGCAAGCGAGCAGAGAAATATGAAGATTGAAGACGCATAAAGTGCTGGACTAGTGATTGCGTCTAGTTGTGGAATCGCGCCTGTGACCTCGCGGACAGCGAGGTCATAGTGCTGTTCGGCGACAGCGTACAAATCACTCCTTGAGCCTAAGAATGACTGGTTGGCCGAGGTGCGTGCCAGGTGAAAGCCTGAAAACGCGAGGAGAAGACGCAAAACATAGTGGAAGGTGAACCCTAGTTGAGACAGCTGGGTTTGCATGTGGTTTTGAGAGCCTCCCAAGTCAGCTGAGGTGATGAAATGATGGAAGAGGGCCATGTCAGTGGCCGTGAATTGGAACGGCTTCTTTGCCACGGCTTGATGCAACAGGGGGCTTGGCTCGTTAGGCTGCTGTATTGACAGAGGACGTGAACTACGTCCTCTCCTTGGAGGACTGAAATTTGACTGGGACGAGGAGATAAAGTTGTAGCTGCCATTGTGCGATGTGGGTGTGACTCCCTCCTCTGTGGACGGCGTGGAAGACCTTTCTGGATTCAAGGCGTAATCGCAGTCAACTGAGTGACGCAGACAGTTTCCGCAACTAGGCTTCAATTCATCACACTAGAGTACGTTGTTTTAGTAGACGGCGTCATTGGTTGTGTAGGAGGCCAACCTTGACCCTGCGCCTTTTGCAGTTTTGGCACCCAAGACGAGATTTCTGATGGGATCGCCGCGAGACCTTGCCAGTGTAGGGGCCAAGTCTAGGAGGCATCCTGTAGTCGCGAATTGGGCAATAAGTCTAGAGGGGAAAAGTCACACTGCTGAATAAAATATTGGCACAAGTTTGCTACAGCAGTGAAATCGCTGGTCCGTCCCTTTTCCGATCGAAGGTGGGGATCGGTCAAGGTCCGATTGTACGGGATGTCAATACTAAAATATTATGTAAAAGCTATTGGCCTCAGATATATGAACTTCTTAAGAAATCAGATTTGGAACTGATTCATCTAGCTGGCTGACTCTAACTGAAGGATGCTGAAGTTATAACAACCAAGTAAAAATGCAAGATTTCTTTATGACAGTCTGCGTAGTCAACGGTCAGGACTCAGGATAACCGTCAACATGGGTAATATCGGCCATTTTTCAAGACCAACCCTCGATGGTCTGGCACAGTCCATGATCCTACTAAACCGTTATCGCAAAGGTAGTTTTGAGACCGGGGCGTACAATTCTCTAGGCATTGTTATTATTCGGTCCGGCTGCCCTCTTGACAGTTCTTATCAGAGGAGTTATTTCCCAAGGAAAGTACAACAGCTGAACAATCCCACGAAAGCCTCAGAATAAGCGAGAACCTATCAACAGGAGACCGAGGCGATACTTTCTTTGAGGCACGAACACGGAGACTCCTTAAATGCCTGCTCCATTGTCCAAACTAGCAACCGAGCAAGGCGTTTTTGTCTCGTTCCCCTGAGGCTCTCACAGCAGGAACACCCACAATCTAACCTTAGATAAGGCTAGGTGATTATGGCAGATTACTAGCTTGCATATACGCGAGCTCTGTCCCCAGAATACGAGAGATATCTGGAGACACGGCGCTTTTGCCCTCGTATTCCGAGCGTAGCGCATCCTTTAACAGACTCCAATCTGCGAATACGACAAGCATTACGACCTAGGTCTCACAAGGCAGACTCGCCTCGAGCATATTCAATACCAAGGACATGGGGTATATATACCTCCTGCGGCCATCGTATCGCTCCCTCATACCTCCAAGCGCACCAGAATACTATCAACAACCACAAAATGTCCACCGACACCCTCGTTCCCATTGTCATCTACCTCACCGGCGAGACCAGCACCAACGATGTGGTTCTCGTCGACGAAAACGTCTCCTCCTTTGAGGAATTCGCCACATCGCTCTACACCAGTCTTCGCCCCAAGATTCCCGATTACTATCTCGAAAGCGGAGAGCGGTCCATCACCCAGGCCTTTGTGACATGGCAGCCTTCGGATATTTTCCCCCAAGAGACTGAGATTGTGGAAGGGAATATTCGGGCTGTGCTTCGGATCCTTGCGGCGCGTAGGGGGGTTGATACCGTTCGGGTGTGGCTTAATGAGATTGATTAAATCATCGGGTATGTGTGCTTGAAATGTGATTGAGCGGATATGGCTGATTGTTTCTATCAGAGCATTTCTCGTCTGCTCAGATGGATTTGTCGTTATGAGGAGTGAACGGATATTGTCCGCAGCCAGGAGTGGATTGGATTGCGGCGCTTGAAAATACTCTCATGGCGAATTTACCAGATGCTGGTTCATAATCAATGTACATAATCATCTATTGATAATGCCTGTGGTAGATATCCAGATTTACCTCAAAGCTATATACAAGGAATACTCTATGTCCAGGATACACTCCCTCATCTGCCCGGACAGTAACAGTATCATGGCAGCTACCAAAGAATGTTAAACTTCGCGAGCCCCTTTCTAGGCTGCGGTTCCGGTTCCTCTTCATCATGGCTCAAATAGAACTGGATTAGACCGACCAGCGGTATATTCTCCAAAGCGATGATGCGCGTTTTCTTCCAGAATTTGTACCCGTAGTATAGTCCGAGGACTACTGGGATGTTAATGTACGATGCGACAAAGGTTTCCGTATCCCAGTGGCCGCTGATGAATGTGCTAAAGCCACCAGTAATAAGCAAGAGGGTGAACAGGATCAGCGATGCCCAGGTAAAGTAGGGCTGGAAAGGCGCGGCCCATGGAAGCTCTTTGTGTCGGTCGACGCCTTGCTTCTTGCAACCGTAGTAGAATCGGAGGTAGACGATGCAGACGATTATCCAGTCTACTAACGTGGCGACCGACACGACATCACGCAGCCATCGAAAGACTATGGTTGATGAGTGGGAGAGGGTCATATATCCCAAGCACATGAAGAGCCCGATAAAGCTAATAGCCACATAAGGCACAGAGAAGTGGTTCAGCCTTTTGAATACGGCTGGAGCATGGCCATGGACCGCCATGCCATACAGAATCCGGGATCCAAACAGGATGTATGAATTCCCGGCGGACCAGGCGGAAGTGAGGATAGCAGCATTGATGATTGAGGGCACGGTCTTGATCCCTGCCCGGCGAGCAGCGATAACAAATGGGGACTGAGAAGCCGTGCCAGTCAGTCGAAGAAGAGTGGGATCATTAGAAGGAACGACCAAGCCCATCATAAAGATTGACAGGACATAGAAGAGGAAGATGCGGTACAAGACGCGCCTGGTTGCCTCTGGTATTGAATGTCGTGGAAACTTGGTCTCAGCCGCGGGAATCGTGATATTCTGGATTCCCGAGTATGCAAAGACCGCATTATTCAGAGTTGTCCAGAAACCAAGGAACTGGCCGAGGGAACCTTCAATCCCAAGATACTGAACAAAAGGTCCTGGGTCTCTCCAGTATCTGAAACCAATGGATTCACCGTCTGGTCCTCCGCCGCAAGTAATCACCAGCGCCATGATGTTCACTCCAACGATTAGCAGAATTTTCAAGATGGCGAATGAAAACTCGAGCTCCCCATAGATCCTGACCAATACCAGCGCCGTAGCGAGCACCAGGACGCTGAAGACGGTAATCCAGATTGCGTTGTTGACGGTGGTCCAGAATTCAATCAGAACCGAGGCTGCTACTATCTCAGCAGGGAGAGTAACTGAGTATAAGTATACTTGATTCCATCCGTTGGCAAATGCCATGGCCGGGTCGAAGAAGTATTCCGCATAGCGGACGAGACCGCCGCTAAGGGGTACTAACGCACCCATCTCTCCCACTGTCAGGACGACGCTTGAAACAGCAAGGCCGACAATCGAATAGGCAAGAAATGCACCCAGTGGGCCTGCCATTACAAGAGCTTGGCCGGAGCTGAGGAATAGACCGGTGCCAATTGTGCCAGCGAGCGCGATCATCTGCATGTGGCGCTGGTACAGGCCTTGCCGGACAGCATGCACTTCTCTGAAGCCACGCCTGATGAAACCTATATCCCCATCGGATGCGCTAGACCCCTCTCCTTCTGAAAGTTGAATCCCTAATTCTGATTCAGTAGGCATGGTTGTGATAGATGCCGACCAAGAGCGGCGGATACGGGCCAGAAACCCCAGCCAGGAGCAGGACGGAAGAAAAGTCGAGTTTTCCCCGCTCCAAGGAGTTCCGAGGTTGCCCAGACTAACGGAGATTACATTTGTGGGTATCTGGCGCTATTAGACGCTACCATGGAATCCTGAAGCTTAATGACGGACATCTCCGCGTATTGACTCTATGGCCACAACGCCGTCCAAATCATGCAGTTTCATCTTTTTATATACGTTTCTATTTATATTCGTTTATCATGACCGCTAATATCAAGTGACAGCTACTGCCCCTTGAACGCCGCATACTTGCGGTAAATGTCGCGGCGGAATGTCTGCCTTAGCGCCATCACCGCGTCCGTATTGAACGGCAGCGAGGCTTGGATGGCGCAAACACTGCAAAACCCGTTCTTGCGGTCGAGAAACCAGACCAGAGTCAGTCCGCCGCCCCAGGTCAATGTCCGCTCCCCGTACCCGCCATCCAGATCCTGCAGGGTGAGCAGGCCGCCCAAACTTTGTCCCAGTTCTGTCCCAGCGTCGAGGCCTACGCGGAAAAAGGGGCCCATAGGAGATGCCAAAGCAGCCTGATGCCCTGCTGACGCTTCAGGACTTAGGTGAGGCTTGAACAGATCGTCAACAGTCGCGGGTTTGAGCAGCTTTCCGTCGTTGACCAGCAGCGAGTGGAGGATTTTAATGTAGCTTTCCCCTGACATAAAGAGTCCATGGCCGCCAAAGTCACCGCGTCCGCGCTTATTCATGTCCACACTGCCGCCGAGTACCGCACGCCCTTGGGCTTCAGGATCATCCGGGTTAAGGTCCACGAGTCGGGGCCGCAGGTCCTCGCGTGTGACGGGGTAGAATTGAGCGTCATTGATGCCGAGACGGTCGAAGATGCGCTGCTGCATGCGTTCACCGAGTGTGAGCCCCGTCACCCGCTCCACCACCTTGCCGGCCCAGTCAAGCCCTGGGCCGTACATGAAGCTGGTGCCAGGCTGGAAGCCGAGCGGGTACCGGAACATCTCCTCAACCGAGAGCCTCTCACCCTCTTGGGGAGGTGCAAACTTGTCGCGCCACTGGCCGATGTGAGGCGTTAGAAAGTGGTAGCAGAGACCAGAGCTATGGGTGAGCAACATCTCCAGCGTGACAGGGCGGGCCGGGGGCTCGAGAATAGGGGTCTCGCCGTCATCCGAGAAGCCAGTTAAGACCTGCTTGGCGGCCAGGTCGGGTGCGACGGACGATAGATCGCCGTTTAGGCTAAGTAGTCCATCCTCGACGCACTGCAGGGCAGCAATGGCGGTGACCAGCTTGGTTGCCGAGGCCAGGTAGAGAACATCGTCGAGCTGCTGCGGGCGCTTTTCGCCGGATAACAAGGTACGCTGGCCCAGAGCCTTGTTGTAAACAAAGTTACCGTCGGTGTCAGTGGTACAAATCACGGCGCCATTAATTTTGCCAGCATCGATGGCGGCCTGGAAGCTAGTTTCGATATCATCGGCCATTTGGACGATTGTCGTTAATTGGATGTGGTTGGGGTGCAGATATTTCATCCTGTACCCCTCAGTCCCTCTATTTGTACCAGAAATACGCGGCCTCAAAACCCTGTCGCTGGGGAATAAGCACTACTTGCATGACTCATGTCTTACTCCATCTCAGTCCCCCACTATCGATATGGGCAATCAAAGTGTGTCTCAGTACTGACTCACTTTATTAACAATGTTTCCAAGGGTTTCTGACTGATGCCTTTTCTATCTAGGATACCAACATAGTTATATCCAGAGTTTGGCGGAGTAGACACTCTAGATCTAATCGATGATGAGATCCACTGACATTTCTCACGCTGGCTATCCAATAGATTGAAATTAGATTAGCTCGTACTATTACAAGAACTAGCACGTACTCTGCATGTATTATCTAATGATGGTGCTTCCCATTTCCATGTGTTGATTGGGATAGGCTTCCTCGCTTTGACAGTGTACACGGTATCGAAGCCAGAGTGATTGGCTTAATAATGTTTAGCAGAACAGATCTTATCACTCATCTACAGCCCAGTTTCCCCAGAAAGAAGTCATACTGGGGTACATGTCCACCGACAATCCCCAATAATTTCTCCAAATCGTTATACTCGCTTGTTCCCCAGATGTGTCTGGAAAGGCAAAACAAGAAACACTGGAGAAGCCCAAGGGACAGAAATTACTGGTTTAATATGTTTCCTTCTCGATATAATTGCGTGGTGTCGAATATTTGTACTGTAAAGTCTTATTCCTGTTGTTAGAACTGACGACATCATATTTTATCTACAGTGAGCTTGTCCGAACTCTCTTCCGCTCATATGTAGTTGACGAATGGATAAACAAGCTCTCTGCAGCAGTGCCTTAGCCAAGCTAGCTATCAATATAAACCAGCAATATAAAGATACTAAAAATGGCCGGATACGAGGATGCAACATCGGATAATTCGCGCTATCTACCTATGAATAGCAGCATCCGGCGAGGAACACGAGGAAGCGGGCTGCGCAATACGAGCGGCCTTGACGATCCCATGTATAAGTACACGGCTTTTCAGCATTCCTCTCGGATGACGGAGCAAGTCTCAGTTAACAAAGAAACAGAAACAAAATGAAGTTCCTCCCTCTCGCAGTTGCCTTCCTCCCCTTCCTGGCCGCCGCTGCCCCCGTCGCGGATCCTGAAGCTGAAGCGGACGGAGAGCTGGACCTTGAGAAGCGCGTATCGGCGCAGACTTGCAAGATTGTCAACGTCGATCACTATGTCAACTGCCGGTACGATGCGAAGCTAGACGCGGGCGCGATCTTTGGGTTCCCCAAGGGAGATAAACTCACCTTTGCATGCTGGAAGCACGGTGATTGCTACAACGGGGTTTGGTGAGTATGACACCTGCTTATGATGAGCTGATGCTAATGGAGTAGCTCCTGGGACCAAGTTACTTATCTCAAGACGACGTGCTATGTCAATGGGTACTTTACCGATAGTAATTGCTCGAGCAGTACGTTCCCTCTTCCTAGTATCTGGACATGGCTGATGATGTTAGAAAAACTCCCCAAATGCGACTAAGCTGCAGCGGTCCTCGATGTCCCTATGATATGCTGCTAGAACCGATATGGGTTTGGATGATATGAAACTAGATGTCATCTGGTCGTTGTATTACTATGAAAGTCGCCTTCAAGCCCACGTTCCTATACCCCCGTGAATATGATGTCGAGATGGAGACAATACATGGCGTTAAACCTAGCTTCTAAGATTCCCAGTAATGAAACACCACTAACGCCGTAACGCAAAAAGTCGTCATGGGTATCTTTTCAATATGTTATACAGGAGAATCTCGATCAATCCGACGACCGAGGAAGATGCTTCGTCAACCCCTCCTTGAACCTCTTTCGCCAGCCGCGACGTTTCCTATCCTCTTGAGAAGTCCGGTCTGTGACCGTTCTCGTCCGCGAGTTCGTCGTCCCCTCATTCCCTCTGAAGGCAAAATCTTGTATATCCGACCGGTCCGACGCAGAAGACATCACCGCACTACTCGCATACTCGCCGTCGTCCTCCACCGAACTCGACCCCGGCTCGCCATAGAATCCATACCGACGTGTCGAGTCACTCCGACCGCAAGGATAATCCTCTCGCGCGCATCGATTCACCCGTATATCATCCGCGACAAACGGCCCAGACATAGCTTCCTCTGGCAATAGATTGTTCAAACACGGCATGGAGAGCGGCTGGACGCGCGCAGTCGCGGATGATCTTCGCAGGAAAGGTATGAGGATGGAACCCCGCAGGAGCTCCTTGATGTTATTCACGACCCGATCGAGTATTTCGGGTGGAGGAGGGTCATCCCCGTGCTTGTGGAACTGCTGCATCAGCTGCGATCGGATGTCGCAGGGGATATTAATCTCGCGCTCCCCGTGAGGGCGAATATATTGGTTGATCAGGCGGTTCCAGAGCCCGGAGAGATGGGCCTTGCGGACGGCCTCGCATGTCTCGGTTTTATGCTCGAGCCAGTGGTAGATGCGTCGGTAGCGTTCGGTTTCTAGTAAGAACTCGACGGTTTCTAGACATTGGTGCTCGGAGAGGAAGGCAATGAATGCGCCCAGAGTGTAGGGGAAGGGGGCCACATCGTTTAGGATGTCATCCAGCTGGGGTTGGAGGTGATATAGACTGCCTGATCGGTCCCTCATGGATGGTGGATAGGGTGGGTTTGCACATAGTTAATGCTAGTAGAAACGGCTATTTCAGGCCTCGTGTATTGGCGTCTTATAAAGTAACATGATGATTAGCTCTGCAGCCAATGATGAAAGTGGAGGCGCGTGCCATGGTTCGGACTGGGCGGATCTGGGGTTCTGAGGGGATGGGGCTGTCTTCCATCAATGACACGCTGCGTTGGACTTTTTGGCCAGGTTTATACTGTTCGCTTGGCATATGCTGCTTCTCTACTGGATGCTTGAACCTGGGTTCACATTCGACGGGTCTAGCTACTTTAGTCTATATGTAACCATCCAATCGCCCGCAAAAAGGGTCGCACGGTCATTAAACTCCCTGCTGTGATCCCCAGCCCGGTCTCTATATTCGACCATATCGAAACCTGCGTTGTTTCGTCTGCGAAAGTCAGTCAGTCCGTCATCACTGCCAGTGACGGTCTCAGAGCCTCTTACATAGAAATTCCCGACTCTTCGACAGATGGAGAAACGGGATACGAACAATGACCGCGGTGCTAGCACTGGGGCAATGTCAGCTTTCGTCAGGTCGAGCAGGAGAAGTAACATACACGCATCCAATAGATAGAATGCCAATGACGGCCATCTTCGTGTGTCGGTCCATCTTTAGCCTCCCGATCATGAAGGCGGGCAGCAGTCCAATCGTAAAGTCGCATACCGCAGCAGCCGCACTGTACATGTAGACGATCCCCAGGAGACTATCCATGTTCATGCAATGCCCCTCTTCCGTCATTCGGTTCCAGTAATAATCGACCGGAGTGCATTCGAAGATGGTGAAGAAGAAGAAAATGGTCCCCGCGACAATGGACAGTATGGTGGCGGCACCAAGGATGCTCCGGTGGAGGTTGTCAACGGTGAGGCGCACGAGGGTGACGGTGATTGACAATCGCACGAGGACGGAAGTAACGACGTAGAACAATTGTCCAAGCCAGAAGCACTGCGGTCCGTCAGTAGTGAGCTTGCGTCGCAAATCCATATCACCCACCAGCATGGCCTTGCGAAAGTTCTGCGGCGATTCCTCAAAGTAAACCAGTTTCTTGCCCATGCCAAACGTCGCGCCGAGTATCGTACACGTCCCGAAACCGATATTGAAGAACTGCGTTCCAGTCTGCTCAGAACTGCCCTGTTACATGGGTAGGAATGGACTCACCATTGCAGTTACCATGATATAGTCATCGCAGCCCGCGGCATGGGTCAAGCGAAAGCGAACGAAACATCTCAAACTGCCCGAGATCAAGGAAAGAGCCAGGAATATGGCCGTGACCACCACAATTGCCTCACTCCGGCCACTCACCATGGTCGTAAGGCCTGCGAGAGAGGTATGATATCCCGCATGTCTTCTGCGGTCGCCAAGTGTAGGAGAAGATAGAATCTCGCGGAGTCGGACTCTGGACGAGCAATTCCAGCTCCACAGAACTTATCTATGATACGAGGTGGGGTTATTAGACAGTTCCGGCCGGCTGGAAACTCTATAGATGAACCGTTTTGCTCCCAAGTCTGGGTGGTGGTGCCGTCTGGTTGGATGGTTCTCTCTGCCGTTGCAACGTTGCGTTCATGACGTCAAGACTTGAGATTCGCGGATCGGCCAAGACATAGATACATATACAATTAGACTAGGTAGATCTGATTATGTATGTAAAGACAAGTCAGTGTGTCCCATTTGTAGCTCAAGTTAACTATGGTTCGGGTGAACAGCCTCTATATCAATTTGCTTCCCTCCCCGCATTCCTTGACAATGGAGAAATGACCAAAAAACTGACCGCGAGCCAGACGTGAAATACTTATTCAGCATCATTTTTCTGGAAGATATCGTCCCATCCAGTTAAGGGGTGATCCACCTGTCAAGATTAGTAGCCGCACTGTTACAAATATATCCACCAGCGATTAATGTTCGACCTACCACTTCCACATTGTTGCCAAGCGGATCCAACACAAAAGCCCCATAGTACTCTGGATGATACTCTGCCCGAATTCCTGGAGCGCCATTGCACTTTCCCCCAGCTGCTACTGCAGCCTGGTGAAAAGCGTCAACCGTAGCATGGTCTGATCATCAGTCAGTCGCCCTCCAGGGACGAGAGAAAACATACCACGCGCTATAACAGCAAAGTGGGAGCCACCGCACTGCTCGTCGGTCTCTGAGATCCAGAAGTCTGGATGTGCAGAGCCGAGTCCGACAGCTCCTGGGAAGCGCATCATTTCCCTGTAGTTCAGCGGAGCCAGAGCCTTCTTGTACCAGTCGATAATGCTCTCAAATTGATCCTTTGGGGCGCGGATGCCCACATGGTCGATTGTGCTAGACATGATGAGTTAATGCCGATGGCAGTTGTGTTTCTGAGCTGTGTCTGAGTGCTGGATAGAGAATCGCAGGACCAGACTACGGGGTTTATATGACCGTTGAATTCCATATAGGCGTCGACGGCCAAGAAGGACCAGACCGCCACAGATGGCTATACGAGGTCTAGGTTAGGCAGCAGCGTCATATCACTCAATATACTTCGTAGAGAATCCAGACTTCAGGGCTCTTGTATACGAACATGAGTGGCGCATGTCAAACCACAAGAGACAGAGAAACGGTCATAGTTTCCATGTTGGCAGGCTGTCACTGAAGTTGAGAATGCCTGGGGAAGGATAGCATTGTCTTGACTTTTAATAAATGGCGTACAGCAGGGTAGGTTTCAGTCCGAAAGCGAACATACGATGAGTTGACGAGTCGTAGGGAGGGTTTCCATCACGAAGCGAAAGGTTAAGAGACCGTGACCCGGTATGCAATCCGGAAACTGTCATGTCTCGACACCTACCAGCACTATAAATAATTGTCGCGCCCTGCAACTATTACCGGGATCAAGAATCCGAAAAAGAAATGGTCATATGGGGCTGTTGATCCTCTTTCTCGACGACCCCGAGTACAGACAACGTCGATTGTTCGCGACTCTAGGCCCAATCTGATATTAAGAAAAGTCGTTAAAAGGCAATACTCATAGACGTGGTGCGGACAACCGTTGTGGTAGCCTTGCGCCCAGCCTCATGCGCGGGGCAAGAGACTTGAGCCAATAAGCTGAAGACGGATGACTTGGTGCATGCCACTAGTCAAGGCTAACAAGTCCACTCTCAGAATGTGCTGACTCCGAGAGCCATCTACAAGTTATTGGATATACTGGAGTATGAAACCATGACACCACGACACCTGTTCGCGCTGCCGGCGGAACTCATCATCGAGATAGCTCAATATCTCTCATCGCCGAGCCTGTCGGCTTTGGTTCGCACATGTCACAGTGCATACGACCTCCTCAACCCAGTCCTCTATTCCGTGCCTGTCAAACGGCTCTACGGCGTCCTTGCATGGGCGAATCGCGTGGAGAAGCAAGGGACCATGCACCGTCTTCTAGACCACAACCTAATCAGGGTCTTGGAGGTTAAACATCTCGCCCTTCGGTACGCTTGCTCAGCTGGCTCCATTGAGATCGTCACACGGCTTCTGGACAGTGCTCCAGATTCGCCATGCGATTGTGGCCCAATCCTCCCCCGCGTCGCGGGAGTCAATCGGAAGCAGATCATTATGATGCTTCTGTCTGCCGGCACGGACTTGGCTAGGTACGACTTTGGCCAGGTGGGCAAGCTCCTCGGTGGCTGGGCCTCGGAGGACCTGGAGGCCCCTCGAGCTCTCATCAGATATGGCCTCGATATCCATCTGGTTGACGCCGACGGTGATAACCTACTGCACCGGGCCGTCAAGAAAAACCTACCGATCGCGGACATTGCTTTCCTCCTGGACGAGGGACTGGACATCAACCACCGCAATGTCCAAGGCCGTACTCCGCTTGCCGCCGCGATCGCGATCGATGACAGCGCTCTGATTGAGAAGCCGGATATACTGGAGTTGCTGCTACAGCGAGGAGCAAAGACCGACCTTCCAGACAACCGGTCCTGGTATCCTCTGCATCAAGCGGTTTTCGACGAGAAAACCTGGGCTGTACGACTGTTGGTGCAATATGGAGCCGATCTTGAGGCTCGGACTTTTTACGGCGAGACACCACTTTATATGGCCTGTAGCGTCAACTCGCAATGTGAGAAGGTCATCAAAGCACTGCTGGACGCTGGGGCATCTCCGGCTGCTCATGTAACAGCACGCCGGGGAGAGAAGCGGACGCCCATGCACCTAGCCTTAGCGAAGCGCGATCCAATCCGCCGCGGCATCCGCGTACGGTACCTGTTTGACGCCTGGATGGCCATGTCTCCGGCGTTGCCGTCCACAGATGTTGTCTTTGTCGCCGCGGCGGCACTGGGAGAGGTGGCCATTTTGCAGAAGCTGATAGACTCCAAGACGGTAAACATCGAGGGAGCGGACGGGGTAACAACGGCTCTGATGGCTGCTGCGGGCGCCGGCCAAGATAAGGTTATTGAGCTTCTCCTCCCGCTTGGAGCAAACGTAGATGCGGTCGACGAACTGGATTGCACGGCTTTACAATACGCCGTATGCTCCGGGACCGAGACCACTATTCAACTTCTTCTCCCACGGTCGTCGACGGCGTGGGCTTCTTGCAGGTCTCGTGCAATGCTCATCACCTGCGCAATAGTGTACCAGCAATCGCCCGGAGTCCTTCGCAACCTGCTCGAATGGAGACGGCATCGGCATCCCCAACATGAGATCGATTGGAAACAAGTGCTCAGTTACCTCCGTCACGACGCAAATATCGTGGACAAGGCTCGCATTATGTTCGAATACATGGAGCCGGCTGATTTACAACCCTCAGCACACATTGTGCCGCTCATATTCTTCATTCACAAGGGGTGCATTGACATTGCGCTGGAAATCATCCAGCAAGGGATCGGGCTGGAGGGTCGTGCCGAGGACTGGACACCGTTAAGGATGGCCGCTTCCAAAGGTGAACTGGCCGTCGTCCAAGCGCTTGTTAACGCGGGAGTCGATTTGGAGGTTCGATCAGACAAGGACGCGGGGACAGCGCTATCTCTGGCCGTTGTCAACAACCACAGTGAAGTGGTCCAGTTTTTGCTGGCAGCTGGGGCAAACATGGATGTACCTGCAGGTGACCCGGCCGGCAGGTCGGTTCTCCAACACGCCGTGTTCCATGGATACATGGACATCGTTCGCTCGTTGCTTACTGCTAACGTGGATGTCAATACCTGCGGTGGAGACAACAGCTATACGGCGTTAACCTGGGCTGTTCTAGGGGGGAAGCTTGAGGCGGTACGTCTGCTTCTAGCCCACGATGCCAAGGAACAGCTGCAGCGGAGTGGCAAGGACGCTTTATACTGGGCTATGCATGACGGACGTGAACGTATCGCTGCGTTCCTGGTAGAAGCAGGAGCTCCGATTGACGAGAACGATCGCTATGGCCGTACCCTTCTTTCACAGGCCACCAGTCGAGGAAGGACGGCCATCGTCCGAATGCTCCTCGACGAAGGGGTCAGGGTCAACTTGCCTGATCGCCATGGACGCACCCCATTCCTCATGGCAGCCTGTCGAGGACACTGTGAGATTGCTCGACTGCTGGTAGAAAAAGGAGCGGACATGCATCAGAAGGATTACTTTGGTCGCTCGGCGCTGTCACTCGCTGCGGATCAAGGACACACTGAGATGGTGGAATGGCTCATAGAGCAAGGGGCAGATATAAATGAATGCGATCGGATCGGTCGAACGCCGTTGTCATGGGCAATGCAAATGGACTCAAGCGAGGCGGTTGAAGCACTGGTGTTGGCTGGTTGCGATGTGCTCAAACCGGACCATTATGGACGAACGCCATTGCAATGGGCTTCCAGTGACCGATGCATCGCAAAGCTCTACTGCTCTTTTCCAGTATATAGACCAGGCTGCGACGTCGTCTCCAGTCAGGAGCTGGGGCATGTCACAGGCTGTAGGCCGGATTATCCTGCTGTCACCGGATGACATAGAAAAGAGTAAAAGAGCTGGGAAGTACGCAGCTCGTCGACTATCTCAATGCATGCCTCCTTCTAGACTTCCCCTCCTTGTGTAGGACTCGGCATGAACTTAACTGAGAGACGTCGGCAAGTGTCCGCCGAGGTAGGAACAATCGGCAGTGTGTCGTTTCAGCACGCTGTCCCCGGCCAGACAAGTATCAAGTTGTCCATTCAGAAAGCACAAAGTATACCGGCATGTAGTCAGGGACTATATGCCGATTATGTTAAAAGGATTGTTGATGCCTCAAAAATCAGTGGGTTTCCAAGTGAAACTAGTGCATCGAGCACAAGCCATTTCATCCTAGGGCCATTCTTAATGCAGGTACTAGTTATCCTTGATAGGATGAGTCAGTAATACCA